TGGTTTGTCAACGAAATGGTGCGTGATTTCAATCTCGGGACATTCAACCCAAAGACTTGGACCGTGCCTGAAAAATATAAGAGAGTGTTTAATGGTACGTATCCAGCTGACTCAGTTACAAACAAGAAATGGCTTGAAGATGTCGATCACGTGTATGCATGTCATCATATAAATGGAAACCATTGGGTTGCTTTGGATATTGACTTGGTGAAAGAGAAGATTCATGTGTATGATAGTATTCTGACAGTGGTGCCTGATGATAAAGATATAAAGGAGATTTGTAGGCCATTCACAAAGATGATCCCTGCATTGCTCAATGCAATGCTACCAAGAAATATGCGGAAGAAGAGCGACAAGCAGTTCACGGTGATAAGATTGAGGAGTCCTCCACAAAACAAAAACCCGGGCGACTGTGGAGTGTATACTTTGAAGTACATTGAATGTCTGGCTATTGGTTGCACATTCGATGGTTTAAATGATACTAATATTCCAGCATTACGACTGAGATTAGCAGCTGAGATTTATGACGAGGTGGGACAACCGCGTATCGCCTGCAGGTCCACCCATTTAGTCCGTGATGAAGACTTTGGCCAAGAACTACGATTGATTGACTCTCCATAGAGGTTTATGTTGATTTCTTTATGACTTTTGTTTTCTTTGCTTTTGGTTTTCATTGGATCAGTTATTTTTGTTATTTTAAAATAGATTTCACGATGGTCTTTTGTTTTTTAATCGAAAGAGTATTTCATAGCCCTTATGTACTCATTTAGAAAAATTAACTTGAATTCTTGATTCCAACGTAAGTTCCAAGTATGATTCATCAAATAGAGTTCCTATTCCAAGTAGGATTCATATTGCAATTAAAGTTCCTATTTTAAGTAGAGTTCCTATTCCTAGTATGATTCATATTCCCAAGTAGAGTTTCTATTCCAAGTCCACGTATTTTTTTGTAACTTTCGCATTTTGTGTAATGATACTATGATCTAAACCAAACATGACATAGCACTATCACTAAAAGTAAAGAAAAGAAAACAATGCAATAAAATAAGACTCGAAAGAAAAGTACGAAATATAAACTAACGTATGAGTAAAAGCCAAAGAAACAAATTTAAACTCATCACTTCGAATAAAGCAACCCTAAACTTCAATAGGAGCCTTACATGTCTTACAATTATGACCAACTCTATGACATCGAGAACATGTGTATTCTTTACGAGGCCGCTTTTTAGCTGTGGCTTTCTCCAATGCTGATTTCATTCTTGAATTCTTAGGTCTACCTGGCGGATTGCGTACTATGGGAGGTGAACACACTTTAGAGGCGACATCTTCGGAAACAGGTGAAGCAGCATCCCTTGGCATTACAGAAGTGGAGTATGCATTGTAAAAGTAGTTCTTGTGATAGTATGGATCGCATTTTGATATGGGAGAAATTCTACGTGCTTCAGCTGCGGCAATGGCGTGCACACATGGTAACTTCTCCACATCAAAACGACGACACGAACATTTTTTCTCTTTCAGATTTACTACATTCAAAGACATACCACATGTCACTTGTGCATGGTGTACATCTATTGCTTGCACCTTATAGAGCTTAGCTTGTTGTACACGTTTCTGGAGTAAAACAAAGAAAAACAACTACAAATGTTAGCGTATTCAGATTAAAATCAAGCAGTTAATATAGAAAAATATTTTGGCTTGTACCTCCAACAGTTTCTCTACGCCACGAGTCAGGGTTGTCTTCATTGATCCTGCATCCATCCTCCGATCTGCAAACCATCTCGTCATCATTGATCGCACTGCATCTAATACTCGTACTATTGGCAAACTCCTCGCATCTGAAAGCGCTTTATTTATAGACTCTGCTATGTTTGTTGTAGTTAAGTTGTACCGGTCTCCAGGGAAATGCACACGAGCCCACTTTCTAACATCAGCTTTTACGAGGTACCTATGTAGTGCTGGATTCAACACTCCTATTTCATCAAATGTTGCATCGAAATCTGATATTTTAAAAGCATTTGCTGCTTTCTTAACCAAGCGAAATGCATCACGACCACGAAAACGTTGCAAGATATTCTTGTACAGATGGTAGGTACAAACTCCACGACTAGCCTTGGGATAAACTTTTTTAATAGCGTTACCAATAGACTGGTGCCTATCAGAAATAAGTGCAAGTCCTTCATCATCCTGAATCACATTACTAAGCTGCTGGAAGAACCATTCCCAAGAATCATCATTTTCTGTATCTACGACTGCAAAAGCAATTGGAAATATTTGGAAATTCCCATCTTGAGCTGATGCGATCAGTAGTGTTCCTTTATATTTTCCCTTTAGAAAGGTACCATCAACAACAACTACCTTTCTCAAGAATGGAAACCCATTTATACTAGCACCAAATGCAAGGAATAAATACTTAAATCTCTGGAACTCATCGACTTCCAAACGCGTGAAAGTTCCGGGATTTGCTTGTCTTATCTGGTGGAGATATGTCGGTAACTCTGAGTATCCACTTTCTGAGAACCTCTAACCAAAACTCTTGCACGTAGAAGAGTTCGATGGGCCTTCCAATAATCCATCTAGTTACCAAAAAAAAAAAATTACAACATGAGAATAAGAAAGCCAGAAATTCAACTACAAGATAGACGTATATATGGGCATCTTATGTATAACTCAACCTAAAATTCAAACAATACACACACAAAAGTTAAACATAAGTCAATGAATTTGGAACGTCTAGTGAAAATTTCACAAATTTGTAGTGGATGATTTATGATATAAAACAAAATAAAGGATGACAAAATAATACCTTGATACCAAATCTCATGTTTAATGCTTCTGCGACATGTTTTGGTAGTACTTTTGAATCAACACCACCAACGGAATTCACATATAGTAATGCAAGTATGTCAGGAGTAGCTTGGCGGGCACGAGCAGAACGCTCCGTAACAGAACATGTGTGTTTGTCTATGTACACACGAACAGTAAACTTTTCAGATTTTCCAACTGGTGTCGCTCTTACTCGCCAGCTACAGCCTTCCACCCAACAATTAACAGTGAATAGGTCTGTCGCTGATCTGTCGACTTTAAAATCAAACTGATGTAGAACCGACAAAATCTTCAACCTGGTCTCTAGTTCATGTTTCGACTCATATTGTTGTCCAACAACTAGGTTAAGTGAGGATATTTCTAACTTAACATGTTGACTAACTCGTTTTGGTTGAGTGTTCGTAGACGTAGTACCTAATTTCGCAGCTGGAGATTTTTCCTCATTCTCTTCTTCTTTTGGATGCGTCCCGTACGATCTAAAATCTTCATCACCAGAAGATGCTCCGTCCGAATCGTCACAATAATCAAACCGATCACCATCCTCGTCGTCATCTTCATCACCATCTTCATCGTCATCTTGATCTTTGATATTTGCGGATTCCTTTTTCGAAGGACACATAACTGGTTCTCTACCTTTCTCTTTAAGCTCGACACATAAGTGCAACGGCTTATCTTTTCCTTGTTCCAAAAAGCCATGAAGCTGTCTACAACTGGTGACCCTAACCGGTGGTGTACTTTTCGGTAGTGTAAGCAGTATCTTTTTAGAAAACATGTAGCTCAATTGTACATCGTAGATCCGAAAATCGACTTTGTAATCCTCAATCACCATCCCAACGAAATCTTCATAACTTGTTCTATCGTTTGCTGCTATAATTTTGCTTCCTCTTTTGTCATCAACAAAAAATATCCATCTGTCGTCCTGGAACATCCATTTACCGCATACTAGAATAATTTGTGTCATACCTGATATAGAATGGATGTAATGAAATCAGAGTTTAGAAAAAATCAGAACGTAAAGCAAGAGGTGGTGATGAACATGAAAAAATTAGAACTTCCAGAAAAGGTAGAAGACAGCGACGGCTAAACCTAATTTTTATGTGATAGTGATTTTTTTGTCTTTTCCAAAGTCATTAATTTTTGTTTCCATTAACGAGTCAATAATGTCACGTCATCACAATTTTTTACCAAAATTTCTTTACAAAAGTAATTGTAGCATTAAGTCTGTCACAACATAGATAAACAAGTCTGTCACATAATAAATTTGGTAAGAATGAAATTTCTTAAAAATCTGTGCGTGTGTAGGAAAAAAAAACTGTCACCAAATAAATCAAGTGATTTAAAAATATAAATCTGTTGTAACGTAAACTTAAATCTGCCACCACATTAACGCTAATCTAGTAATTATGATTTTAAATTAAATAAGTCTGTTAATGATAACAGATTTATATAGACTAATATTAAGTCCATCATCATAGAGGTCTCAAAATATAAATCTGTAAGCATATACATACATAAGTCTGCCGTTGAAAAATAAATCAACGAAATAAATCTGTAAAGAAAAAACAAGTCTGCCAAAAATTAGTAAATCTGTGGTCACAACGCAAAAAATCTGTGACCTTTGATTTCTAGTCAGATATAAGTCTATTAGAAAAAAAACAAGTCTAGACAGAAGTCTATTATTGTAAATAAGTCTGGTAGAAAAAATAAAACTGTTGTCTCATAGAATAGACTTAAAGATATAAGTCTGTTATTGTAAATAAGTTTGCTACAAAAAATAAAACTGTTGTCCCATGCAATAGAATTAAGAAACAAGTCTGTTATTATTGTAAATAACTTTGTGATAAAAGTCTGTTACCTAATTAAAATATGATGGTTAATTTAAGTCTGTTATCATTAAGTAATAGATTTTTTATATAGACTTAATTTTACAATGGCAATTTCGTTATATTTTTTCCGTTTTTTATTAAAAAATAAATGAAAAATAATGGCATTTTTGTAATTATATTTTTTCAGAACAAATGATATAAGGGCTTTTTGGACATAAAATAATTGTCAGTAATTAAAAAAAAAAGAGCTAATCTAGTAATAAATCAATGAATGTGTGCTAATTAAGTAATCTTCCTTTTTTTTTTTGCAAATAAAGCATTCATGTACCTAAATCCTCAAGGTCTGCATAGATGCTATCAGATGTCTTGCGGTCATGCAACATCGGTAATCTCATGGATCCAGCGTTGCTTTGCACAATCAAGATGTAATGAAATTTTTGAGTGATAGACGAATAATTAATTTATCTGGTTTTTCTTAATTTGGTCAGCAGAAGTCAATCACCGAACCATATTTTTGGTTTAACTCAAAGAAAATTATTTTTCTGACCAAATTTGGTTATGTAGTTTTGGGTATGAAGCCTTTACCTTTTTTTTTTTTTTTTTTGCTATTGTTCTATATGTTATTTTTGGTTTTAAAATCAAACAATTTAATAAAAAAACAGATAATTTGATTTTCCTTTTTTAAAAAGGGTGCTAGAAAATTATTCATTCTTAGAAAAATTTAAATGGAACCATTCTCACTTGGCCACATACTTGGCCACATAGATATGGGTATTTTCTTTCAGCTCATTTGAATATTCAGCAAGAAGGGATGCATTTCCCCGAGACGGGTCTGGTTATTTATATATAATACATTGGTATGAAATATGGATTGTATGAAATCCATATTATTCTAGTAAACAAATATAAATTGTATGAAATCCATATTATTCAACTAGGTAGCTGGAAAACAAAATTGAAAACGTGAATCAATAACTTATTTGAGTAGTATGCATCCATATAACAAGTATAATGAATAATTAAATTTGAAATTTTAATGTCCCACTTCAGTCTTCCGCATATATGAAAAAAGTTTAATTAGTAAATTACTAGGGGATTTAACTAAGTCTCAAAAGTCAAGAATAATTATAAACCGAACCAAATCAAGATTCAACACAAGAGGACACATTTAATCGCATCTAACTCTACGTTAAGATCCAAACCAAGAGAATTTAGGACCGAGTTTTGGCTTTGATCAGGACGGCTTGGAAGGATTTCGGTGACGGGATCTTAATCTTGAGCCGCCTTTATTTGGCTCTCAGTATAAATTTTGGCTGTTTTGATGATTGTCAGTTATCTTGGGCTATTGTGAGATTCAAGCAAGACGTGCTGAAGAAGCTAGAGGATAGACTGACGGATGTGAATGGGTTTGCGAGGGAGACGATAGAGTCTAACATTTTTGACTTGTGTAAGTCTCTCTTTGATGATTATGGCCTTATGGGGCTTGCGGAGAAGGGTGTTGCAGAGGCGAATGAGTTTGACAGGGATGCCATTGAGACTGACGTTTTGGAGATTTGGAAGTCTCTCTTTGACGTAGAAGCTAAGGAAGCAACACCGACTCTCCAAGCCACCAAGAATGGGATTCTTAGTGACTTGTTTCAGCCTATAGATGACAAATTAGCAGCAGAACCACAACAATATTAGAGGCAAATGAATGCTTGGACTCGAAAGCAGGTTTAGTTATCATTATTTAATTACAAGTGCTTTGAAAAACACTAATATAAGCCAGCTTTGCTTTATGATTATTGTTTTTGAACCACTAATCCAAGCTCAAATTCACAACACTTTACACTTATCTATGCCAGCCACCATTAACAATAACATTGTCTCCTCAAAAGATGATCATATGAACAAAGAATGCTTAACACTGTCCATATAATAACATACACTAACTACCAACAAACTTCTTCAAGCTTCACCTGTTTCTCTACTTCAAACAGCTGTTTCCAGAGACACTGTGCTCTATCATGAAATGACTCTTATCTGCTTTATGAGCCCGTAAAAGCAGTCAACACAGCAACATGTTTCTTGGAAACACTCCAGATATGTAGCTTCTCCGAGTCAGTGAGCTCCATCTGAGAACGAGTTATCTTTGCTTTGATCAAGTGTTATCTTTTTAAGCAGCGTGTTGGAGGGCAAACAAACTGAGACCAACTAATCAGTATCACAAAAGCCAAAAGTTCCAAAACAGAGTAAAACTAGCAAAAAATGTAGCGAAACTCACATGATAGAACTAAAAAACAGAGAAATTTAATGTACCAAAAAGGTGAAGACTACTCTGATGGAGTTAAGCATTGCTTTGCTTCAACCAGAGAGTACTCAAAGAGCAGGAACAAATCTTGAGAATCATCCCCCAAAAACCTGAATATCAACTCAAAGCTTAGTTGCTTTGTGAATTCATGTTATTGACACTAAACTGATCTCAAAATCCAGAACATTTTATACTACTGACTCAACCACCATTAACACCGTATACAATTACCAAAATATGGTATTTGAGGAAAGAATGCTTAACCATGATTACAATTCACTGCACCAGGGGACTTTTATCACTGCAAGAAAAAATAGTAGAGAAGCGCTTTTAAGTTTGAACAAGTTTTAAGTTTCATACCTGTGAAGAAAGAACTTGAACCTGCACAACACATCACTACAATGCCGTAGCATAATAAGTAGACTGATGAAACCGAATTATCTAGCATTGCTACGGTCAAAGTGACTTTACATTCTGTATATGACACTGATACTGACACTCACAAGGACCATTCACCAAAACCAATCAACTAGTTAGCAAACTGAAGTAAGAATCACCTTCTCTTTGTGTACAAGAGAAAAAGAAAAAAGAACCAAACTAAGTTATGTATTTGAACAGAAGGAAACTTTTGATTTGTCTAAACAGTTATTCAAATTAAGAGTTCACACACAGCAGTAATGTACCCAAAAGGTTAAGCATTGCTTTGCTTTAACCAGAGAGTATTCAAAGAGAATAACATAAACAAAGCCAAATAAACGAGTAGGACATACACACTTGAATGAGAAGGAACATTTTAAACAAGATCAGATACATTTCTACAAACGAGGAGAAGCAATCTTCAATAGAGACATCAGACCAAAATTATTGCTATGAAGTATGAACAAGACAAGTAAACTATGAAAGCAATATCCAACAAGGTTTTTGTTCAACTGGCCATCACATAACATATTCCATTTCAAAACTACTTTTATTAACTAATGTAACCAACTTTTAATAGTTCGTAATCTTTTAAGAAACATTAGCAGGCAAAAATATAAAAGCTTCCATTCGTTCATTCATCTTTTCAGTTGATGAACCTGCAAAACAAAACACACTAAACCAATCAGAAGCTGCAGCCAATACATTCTTCTCAAAAGTAAAGTGGACACATACCACACTGTTTTGCAGATCGTCCAGAACTGCCAGTTCCTTAGCCGGTTCCTCCTTACTAGATAAACCGGCCACCAGGAGCCACACCGTTAGATATCATCTCTCCCGGAAAATGTCTAGGGCTCCATTAAGATCACCAACTTGACAAAAGCCATGAATCAAAGTGTTGTAAGTTGTAAGTAACTCTATCAGCAGCTATTCCTCTTGATGGAGAGAAGCCCTCGTTAGCCATCAGAGGTTTTCATGAGCTAAGCTTCTCTGACTTTGAGTACTATTCTTGAGTTAACAAGACAACAAGTGTTTGCATCATAGTCTCTTGTCTGAAACCTAGCAGGGAAGTAACAAAAAGAATCAGAAAGATTTCGATGAAGATCAGAGAGACATAACATCCCATTAGAATAGCAGCAACAAAGTTGATTCACCTCAAAGCTTTACAGCTTTTGTCCAATCTCCCATCATGTAACATATGAGTGACCATGCCAAAGGTTGAAGCATGTCCGGCAAAACCGCATCTCTTCATTTCGTTGATGAGTTCAGCTGATTCGGCTTTGTCACCATCTCTAAGGCGTGCCCTGATCAACGTATTGTAAGTAACGCTATTCGGAAGAGGCCCGTCTTCTTTTATTTTCCTTAACGCTTCCTCCTTTAAACCTTTCCAACATAGCCCTGAGATCACTTTGTTGTATGTTACAACATCAGGCTTCACTCCTTTTGAGGTCGAGGCTACAAAATAACTTTGTGATGCCTGTATTTGCAAAGATCACAACATCTGGCTCTATTTCCTCTGCTTCCATCTGCGTCCAATGGAAGGTATTGGACGAGACTGTGCCATTTCACTGAACAAACTAATTGCATCGTCTAACTTCAAATCCTGGACTAACCCATTTCTCAATCTCTCTCTGTTATCATAAGTCCCACCAGAGAAACCTCGATTCCGGCAATAGAAACCGTAAAGATTGCCTTTTTCGAGACGATTCCGTTGCAGAAACCTCTTCTCCGTCGACGGAATCACCATCACCTTCCACATTTTCTCGATTGGGATCTTTACGATCTAAAGAAAACATTTAACCTTTGCGAGACAGAGAGAGAGCACAACTGCGTCTGAATTCCGAAGATGTGTTTTTGGGCCGTTGGATTAATCTGGTATCTGACGGTCAATATTCCATGGGTTTTTTCTTCCCAATCTCAATAACCGACTCGTTCACTATTTGTGTTCTGGTACGGTTTGGTCTTATAATTTCTATTCTTATTAAGCAAGTTGTATAATGAATAATCGAATCTTAAATTTTAGTAACCAGCTTCAGGAGATAAGAAAACAAATTATTAGGGGATTTCACTGAGTCTCAAAAGTTAAGAATAGTTATAAAACCAATTCGTTTTGTCAGAAAATCAAGATTCATCACATTGAATCTCATCTCATTATGCACACCAACTCCAACTATGAAGAGATTTCTCAAGGGCATAGTTGTTAAAAGTTGCAACATTCCAAGACAAAGTCACAATTTTGCATATTGCTCATGTTTATACAAGTTTTCTCAGGTTTCTTTGGTAAGATTGCTCTCCATCTTCATGGGAAAATGTTTTTCTTCAGTATTTCGGAAAAATATTTGTATTCAGTATTTGAATCTGACTGTCTTTCTCTACAAGGCATCAAGTTGTCAATTAAAACATATATCGTCAACAAACTAATTAATGTTTGAAGCAAACAAAATTCAAATGCAAAGAATTTTACTAACTTGATTCAAATATCTTCTTCTCTTCATACCTTCATGTGGCTTTGGCACTACACGAGATATGCACTAGCACTGGCGGAGGCAGAGAAAAAAAGTTACATGGGTCATAATATATTTTTAAAGATATATATCTCTCAATTAATAAATTTCAAAAGAATAAAAAGGAAAAAATCAGCTTTACAAGGGTTTGATGAGGGATCGAACTTGGGTTAAGGGGTAAGTGTCCAATAAAATACCAATTGAGCTAATTGTTCCATATAATTGTACATTAAAATTTATTTAACTATTTCACCTGGTTCAGCTGACCTACCTAGTTCTTCACTAGCTCCGCCACTATGCACTAGATGGTCCAATGAGGTTGCTCCTAAGACTGAAGAGAATTTAAAGCAAGATATTACAAGATATCAAGATTGAAAAATTGATTCATGTGTTTTTCTCCTTAATTATCAGTGAACAGCTAGCACTAGACGCGAACAGTATTTTTTTGGTTTAACATGTCAAAGAAATTTTTTTTTCTGACCAAATTGGGTTATGTAGTGTTTGGGTGTAGAGCCGTTACTTTTTTTTTTTCAATTGCAAGTAAACTGAATATATTAGTTTTTCTTCATACCATATAACCTAAATATCCCAAAATATCTAAAATATTTAGTTATATAAGTTAAAATTAAATATTTTTTTCAAGAATTATCCAAATTTAATTAAAATTAAATAATTTTGTGTCATTCAGGTACCCAAGTGGCAAAAAGCGAACCAAAAATATTAAAACATGCTTCCAAATGGGGCTTGTAGTTCTAAACCCAAAAACTAAAGAAGCCCAACCCTGATCCCGAAGAGGTACTCGAAGTCCCATGCTTTGCGTATTTCTAACGAAATAGTCGATGAGTTGATATATATCTGCACCGACGGATCAGGAATAGTGAAACTCATCGAACAAAACATTTCAAACACATCTACACCTTTTTAGGATGGATATTTTCTAAAATCGGTCCTTTAACAAAAAAAATTCATATTCTTTTCTTTTCACACTAAAAACACAAAGTCATTCTTTTTTCTTTTCTTTTTTTGCTATTTGCATTATCTTATTATATAAAGCTGGATGCGCACGACGTGGTTGCGACACGTAGGATTTTTATAAAATTCAGGATCGCGACATGTGTCACTTTTAAGTTTATGTCCGTTAAGATCGTGACACGTGTCTTAGGAAAAAAAGAGAACTTAAAAAAAAAAATTCCAGAAAAATGTTAATTAAAAAAACGAAATTTAATTTAATCTATTATATCAAAAAGGAAAAAATAATATTTGCCATATCCAAACAGAAAAAGGTTTCCCATTCATCAATTTTTTATTATATAAAGTTGGATGCGCACGACGTGGTTGCGACACATAGGATTTTTATAATTTATAAGATCGCGACATGTGTCACTTTTAATGTTACGTCCGTTAAGATCGTGACACATGTCTTAGAGAAAAAAAAAAAAAATAATAATAAAAATTTAGATAAAGGAAATTTTTAAAAAAAATTAATCCATTACAGTTAAAAGAAATAAAAATATATTTGTCATATCCTAATAGAGAAAGGTTTCTCATTCATCAAATTAATATTATCCAAACAAATAATAAAATCAAAATAATGTAATAAATAAAATCCTATTTGTACATGGAATATGTTATGTAAACTAAATTTCCTATAACTGCATGTAATAGGTTACTTGAACCCCTATAAAAGAGAGTCAAGATTTCTCAATCATAAATTCATCAAAGAAAATTCATCAAATCCCTTTGATTCTATTTCTCCAATTTAAAAATCATGTTTTTGAAAGTTTTGCGATACATAGGATTTTTATAACTGACAAAATTGCGACATGTTTTAGAAAAAAAAAATTCTGAAGTATGAAGATCGTAACATGTGTCATGGAATAAAAATAATAAAAAATTAATATGTATAAGACTAACTAAAAATTAGAAAAACAGATAACAAATAATTAAAATGAAAAAAAATATATCCATTAAAAGTAATAAAAAAACAGGAAACAAATAATTTAAATTCTTTTGTTACATCTATTAAGAAAAGGAAAAAAAATCCATTTCGAAAAGGAAAAATACCAATATATAGTATTTATAATGGTCTGAGGCAAAAACAAAATTGAGAAAGAAAAAATATAAATAGAAAACTAACAAAATAATTATCAAGCAATTAACTAATATTAAAAAATTATAATTGATATTCTAATTTTAAATAGTTTGATTTTCAATTTTTGTTAGGTAAAAAAAATTGAAATAAAGATTTCATCAATTAAAATCTCTTGAATGGAATAATAAAAGTTTGATTAATTAATCAGTTGATCAGATTTAGACATGTGTAAGTCTTTCTGTATTGGATAAAAATAATAGTAAAACAAATTAATTCATTTTGTCATATCATAAATTCAAAAGAAAAATCAATTACAATAAAAATGTAAAAGTATTACCAATCTTATTTTATTTAAATATTTTTATCGGGTTTTCAATATTATTTTGTTTACGTTTAAAAATGATCAAATTTTGTTTAATATTTTCCATGCTTTTATTATAAAATCTTAAAATATACCCGCGTATACGCGGGCCTTAATCTATTTTGTGAAATAAACTTTTATCAATGAATTTAAAAATCGTTTTAGAACGTTTAATGGACTAATTATCAACAACCAAGAATCAATATCTCTACAAAACACTATATAAACACTATTTTCGATATTAGCGTTATTATAAACCAAACTTTCATTAATAATAATCAAATAAAAAAGTGTTTTAAGAACGTTTCATAGAGTAATTAGAGAAATTTTGAATAATACACCTCCTCAATTGTACATTTTCAATTATACACTTTTTAAAAATTCTTTCAGAAATACACCTAATTTTATATGCGAATAGACAAATTTAACCTCAATAAAAACTACACGCAACTTATGTAATCCACACTTCATCGGAGACTCATCGAGCTTGCCGCCGTCGATTGTCGTCTCGGAGCTCGCCGTCGTACGTTTCGGAGATCGATCGTCGTCCATTTCATCTTTGGTTACGGTTCTTGGTGCGCGAGAAGCACATATCTGATGCCGAGGTTTTCGGAGGCTGCGACGGCTTTGAAAGAGATGGTAGTCCGATTTTGATGGCTAAGATCGACGGGGATAGGTACTCGAAGATCGCGTTGGAGCTTGAAATCAAAGGCTTCCCTATGCTTCTTCTCTTCGTGGCACTTCTCAGCCTTTCACTGGTGGATTTTCAGTGGAAGTTTCCCTAATTTTGGCTTGTTTCGTTGTGTAAGCAATGTGAGTTTTCTTAGTGTAGAGATTAAAAGGGATTTTGTGGAAATGGCAGTTTAGCTTCATCGATTCTTTCTAGTTTCCAGCTTTGTCAATTTTATAAAGTCTTATAAATTCGGTTACATTGCTTTTGTTCCATGTTTCACAGACTACGATATCATTAGAATTGAGAAATTGTTTTGTTAGGACTTTCAATTTATGGTATCGTATGTCGATAGCGGTTGATTTTGCAACTGTACATAAACTTTTCTTGGTGAGAGCTTTCTTCTTTATTCCTCTTTATCTCTCTATCTCTTTCTTTGGATGACTCTCACACTTTCTCTTATCTCAACAGGCCATTACAGGGGATGATGTTCTTTTGAAATTTGAGAAAGCCAAAACAGCTCTCATCGACAGTCTTAAACGCGTAGAAGACATTGTTCCTAGCTCAATTGGATCACAGGTACATATTCTCATTCCGCTCACTGCATATTCTTGTGTCATCACATCAAGTCTGATTCTTTGGAATGTATGGTGTCTTTTTCAGATTGTGGAGGTTGTTGGTGAGCTAGATAACACTAGGTTCTTGCTTGATCCATCAGAGAAAGAAGTCGGCAACCAGATCATTGCACTGCTTCAACAAGGGAAGAAATTCCACAGCTACAACGACAACACCGAGCTCAAAACATTCCACCGCGCAGCTACAAGACTCAGCATCTCTTCCTCTAGAGTAGCTCTAGCGGAACAAAGAGCGCTAAAGAAACTCATCGACAGAGCACGAGCAGAGGAAGACAAGGGTAAATAATCAATTGTGGCTTATCTCGTGCATCTTATGAGAAAATGCTGCTCTTGTAAACTGAACGGTGTAAAGATTGTTCCTTTGAAGGAGAATGGTGTTACGACCGTAGATACAGAAGAGAGTTGTGTGAGGAGGGTTCTGATGTAAATGTACTTGAGAGGTATCAAATTTGTTGGCTATCTTAAAGGAAGAAGACGACATGGATAAAAAGGACAAGGTTGTAGAAAAGATCAGGCTTTTGCTGAAGGATGATGAAGAGGCAGTAATTTATCGATGAACTCTAGAGGCAGTAATTTTTGTTCAGAGAATAAAAATCAACTCTAGATTTATGGATTATGATTGTATCATGTGGTAGGGATAGCTTTTGTGTTCTATATATAATAAGGTTTTTATAAAATCTTTTACAAAATCTTATAAACCCTTCCTCTGAACATTTGAAGTTATAAGATTTTTGTAACTTCTTTAACAAAACCTTACAAAGAAAAATCTTACAAAAAACTATCATTGAAATCTTAAAGGTTTTTGTAAGGTTTTGTTAGATTTTGTAAACTTCTTTTACAAAACTTTGCAAAACTAACAAATGTGATATTTTTCACATTTTTAAGGTTTTATCTCATTTGTAAGGTTTTGTTAGATTTTGTAAACTTCTTTTACAAAACCTTGCAAAACTAACAAATGTGGTATTTTTCACATTTTAAACCTTTTATCTCCTTTGTAAGGTTTTGTTAGATTTTGTAAACTTCTTTTACAAAACCTTGCAAAACTAACAAATGTGATTTTTTCACATTTTTAACCTTTTATCTCATTTGTAAGTTTTTGTTAGATTTTGTAAACTTCTTTTACAAAACCTTGCAAAACTAACAAATGTGGTTTTTCACATTTTTTTTTTTTTGGTTTTACGGTTTTTTTTTTCACATTTTTAACCTTTTATCTCTTTTGTAAGTTTTTGTTAGATTTTGTAAACTTCTTTTACAAAACCTTGCAAAACTAACAAATGTGGTTTTTTCACATTTTTTAACCTTTTATCTCATTTGTAAGTTTTTGTTAGATTTTGTAAACTTCTTTTACAAAACCTTGCAAAACTAACAAATGTGGTTTTTTCACATTTTTTAACCTTTTATCTCATTTGTAAGGTATTGTTAGATTTTGTAAACTTCTTTTACAAAACCTTGCAAAACTAACAAATGTGGTTTTTCACATTTTTAAGGTTTTATCTCCTTTGTAAGATTTTTGTTAGATTTTGTAAATTTTTTTACAAAACCTAGCAAAACCTTGCAAAACTAACTAATGTGGTATTTTTCACATTTTAAACCTTTTATCTACAAAACCTTATAAAATGTATATATCTATAAGCTCTTATAAGACGTATTGTATGATATTGCCCTTCATGTGTAAGTGTTTCATATATCAGGCTTGCATTTTATTTTTCTGTTTAGACATAATTTTCTTTATTGAATGTAATTACACAACATAGTAATCCCAAACTCCATTGTTCGGATGTCAGATTCGGTTCTCATACATACATAAACATATACATATACATCTACTGTTACATACATCCAACTATAAACCACTCTATGCAATCCAATGCTCATATGTACGTATGCCTTCTATATGTGGGAGGGTCACACATGTTGAAACTACTATAGAGGCATTTTTTTAAAAAAAAACCGATGTATAATGTTAACATTAGTCTCCCGAATCAAAGTATAAAGCATCTGCAGCCTTCTCCTCCATTAGGTCCTTCAAACCACCCCATAATAAGTTCAAAGGTCCAGTGGTTCTGCCAAATAACCAGAGCCCCACAACATCCAATCAGTTACCACTGAGTTCAAATGAACACTAGACGAGAGATTCTAGGAGCCTAAGAGCACTCACAGTGACAGTGGCAACAGAGGGTCCGGTGCTTTCTCGATGACACCGAGCAGCATGTGAACCAAGACAAGATACAATTTGATCACTCACGACTCAGCACACAGGGAAACCACTTGTTTTTCCTTCATATTTCATGACTTAAACTGCTACAAGAACTCATATAATTGTAAGAGGAAACATAGGATGAGTTTCGGTTTCTTACTCGTCAGTCGTCACACACGGTGGATACATTATCAGTCCGCACGAGCTCTTTCAACTCTGTCTGGATAGAGTAAGAGTAGATGAATTTTATAGGTGTTTAATCCTTACAAATTAAATATTTATGGTAATTTAGGGGTGTCAAATGAATCCCTATCCTTGTATGTAGCTCCGCCTTTGATCAGACCAACCGAATAAAAAGAGAGAACATTTGACTTTCTACACCAACGTGCGTGCATGCAAATCAAGCCCTTCTCTTACCAAACACATACATATATAAAAGCTTCATCTATTACAAATAATGAAGATGAATTTTTGTGACTTTTATTAACAGAAAGTATATTTAATAGTCTAAACATCATATAATAAGGAATAAAAACAAAATCTAAAACATCAACTATTAAGGAACTGAGGGAGTACTATTTAAGAAACCGACATAACGGAATATTTGGGTAACAAACTAGCAATCTTATTATATAAAGTTGGATGCGGACGACGTGGTTGGGACACGTAGGATTTTTTATGTTTTACCAAGCCAAGAAAAAAAATTATTTTTCCATATTCTAGTAGAAAACTGAAAAAGGAAAAAACATTTGTTTAAAAGGAAATTTTTTTATTATATTTAAGAGGAATCATATTTTGTTTAATATTGTTTTGGTAAATTGTTCAAGAATCTTAAGATAAACTCCGCAGGGCCTTATCTAGTCATCATGTAAAGCTTATTTTACTTTAAAGTCAAAAAACTATATCTTTAATTATATACTATCCTTTAGATACTATCCTTCCATTGTAGGTATCATTTACCTTTGTTTGGATTATAATAAGAACATTGTTCGTCCAACATTTTGAGATATCTTAAGCGATTTTGAAAATGTGTATCTTTTTGTGTATTATCCAAAATTACAAGAAAACCTAAGAAAACAGGGAATAGAATTGTAAACATTAATTTCCAATTTTTTCTCCAAAAACAAAAAAAAATTTAATTTCCAATTCACGCTGAAAGTTTGTGCTGCTTTTTTTTTTCAAAGTAGGAACGCGCCCGGTTAGCCCCGGTAGGAACGCGCCGAGGTGCTACAAAGTGGACTCATCCTATAGACTAGCACACTGCCTATCCCGAGTTTGGAGTGCCTTCCGACTAATGCCAGGGGGTAATCAGGCCGCCTGTATTTCTAATTACCAGATAAACCAATTGGGCCTAGCCCAAATGATAGACTTCCCACACAAATGTGATTTTTGTTTCCAGGGAGGATCGAACCCGGGTCTGGAAGTTTCACCCTTCACCAAGACTTCCCCTTGCCACTGGACCACAAGAGTGCGGGCAAAAACAAAAAAACAAAGCCGCTTATTGTTTTTTCTCTTGTGAAATCTCAAGATATGTTCGATCCTAGTTTTGTGTCTTCTTTCTTGATTATCATAATGCACAAACTATGTGTGCGAGAAGTTAATTAAGATTCGAGTGGAATCATAGCTTGAATCTTTTTTACTGCTTACGATTAGTGGAATCAATTTTGTGACCGCAAACATTGCAGATAGTAAACCCATACGGTATGATCCGGTCAACTCTAGTAAACCAATATGGATTGTTTGATATCCATATTATTCAACTAGTTAGCTGAAAAATAAACATGAATCAATAATTTACTTGAGTAGTATACATCCATATAAACATGAAACCAACTAATCAGTATCACAAAAGCCAACAGTTCCAAACCCGAGTAAAACTAGCAAAAAATGTAATGAAACTCACTTGATAGAACAAAAAAAAACAGAGAAAATTTTACCTTGCTTTCTTCCATTTGCAGCAGAGGCAAATACGCCATTGGAGACTCAAATAATAATTATTAAGAATATCTGCACAACCTTCCACAGGCTGTGCGATTCCATCAAGAAGTATGTCTCCTTATCTTTCTCGACAGATATAGAAAGACTCGCACAATGGAAGGCAAAGGACGAGACTTAAACCAATTGCACCGTTGGTAAATATGAGACGGCTAGGGTTTAGGGCGACTCCTAGGGCGAAAATCCTTCTTCTAGATCTCTGAGCCGCACCGAGACCGGAAGGAACCTCCGTTTCACGACAACTACACTAGGGTAAGAGGCGGATCCTTCTCTCTACGCTTAGGCTTTTGTCTCTTTGGAAGTTCTGTCTCTGTGGTGTGGTATCTAGGGTTCCTGGAAATCTAGCGTCTTGCTAAGTAAGATCTCATCTCTCTAGCTGTGTGCTAAGTCTGTCGTCCCGATCTAAACCCTCGTCGACTGGCTCAGATCCAACGAAGTTGCTTAAGAAAGCTCCGGAAATATTCCGTGGTTAGGGTTTCTCGTTTGCTCAGAAGTGATGAATAACGGATCTGATAACGTTCACCAAGGTGCGTCTTCCAGCCAGACTCGCAGAAGGCTGGACCTAGGGGAGGAGGAGGAACTAATCCAAATCCCAAACTGCGATATGGGGAGAGCGGCGGAAAAGTTCAAAAATACCCTAATCGGTAGAATGTTTCACAAGGAAGGCAGAAGCATGGATGCGATAATCGGCATGCTCCCAAAACCGAAGATCTGGGATGTTGAGGGAAGAGTCCACGGTATCAATCTAAGGAACGGACAATTCCAGTTTAACTTTGATAATGAAGAGGACATGGCAAAGGTGCTTAGGAAACGACCCTAGCACTACAACCGATGGAGTTTCTCGCTGGAGAAATGGGAACCTTTCACGAGTGAGGTTTTCCCAAATACTATGGTGTTTTGGGTTAAAGTCACGGGAGTGCCGGTCCACTTTTGGAATGACGAAACCTTCATGGAGATCGGGAAGGCTTTGGGAGCTGTCCAGGCCATTGAAGCTCATCGAGCGAAGTTTCAAGTATCTATAAATGCTGACGCTCCCCTCCAATTTGAAAGGAAAGTTGGTTACCCAAATGGCGATACAGGCATGGTCTCACTTGAGTATGTTGGACTCCACCGCTACTGCTTTACATGTAAATTATTATCACATGAAGAAGGCACTTGCCCCCAGCTCACCGAAAAACAAAAAGATTTGAACCGGGCACGCCGTCTCGAAGAAAACTTAGCTGCTACGGAACCTCGTTCCATGCGTCCTCCCGTAATGGAGAGAATTTTAGTTCCCGAAAAATCGGAGAATCGCTATAGAATGGGTGAGTATAAACGTCCCCAAGGAAACCGCAGCGATTACCATAGCCGGGACAGCAGACCAAGAGGGACTTTTGAGAGGGGCATATCTCCTAATAGAAACGACTTCTCCTATCGTGATAGAGATCTACGCTACCATCTCAAGGATTCACGTGACTCACGAGGGAAAGAGGTTTGGAAAAGACTAGAACGACCCGGCCGGAGTGGTACAGCTACCAGTAAAGGAAGATTCCTTCCCTACCAACGTCCTCGGGCTGAGTATCGGGATCACGGAAGAACGAGGTATGAGCCGCGACCCGAATGGCGCCCGAGATATTCTCGAGATTCAGAGGTAGATAATCACTTTGATACCCCCACGTCCAGAGCTCCACCTATGAACAGAGGCAGACATGGCACGATCTCCGATTCACAACACACCGTGACGGAGAGACATGATTCTCCCCATGAATATACTGGCACAGGAAAGGGTCTGCTGATCGTACAATCCAAAAAATCAGAGGAAGAGAGAATCCGTAACCTCAAGGGGAAGGCTCATGTGACGGAGGAGTCTGCTTTCCAGGAAAAGCAGAGGAAAGAAGCGATGCTAGGACGCAAGCTGGGAACCTTAACTATAAGAGATAATGCCCATCCTGACAAGAAAATGCTGGGCCAAGGTAACCCAGGCAGGGATGAGAGGAACGTGGATGTGGTTTTTTATAAGGATCTTCCCTTGGAGGAGACTCTGGCTGAGAACGAGAATGAGGATGAGGCTTTTACGGAGGAGGAAATGGACGCGATGCTGGAGGATAATGTACAGCTCTACTTATGATATGGAAGACTGAAGCAAATGATATGGAAGACGACGACCTACTTGGGGAGGAACTGATGGAAGAAGCAGAACAAATTGAGGCCATTTCCCAGCTCTCCCCGATGGCTACCCGAAAGAAGGTGACAGCGGGACCAACCCAAAAGGGTGACGGAGGAAAGCCGAGACACACTAAAACGGAGATTTTACGATCCCGGGTCTCCCCTCGTCAGAGAACGTCAATAATTAACGACGCCAAGAGTACTAAAGTGTCACGTAAAATGAAAAATATGTGTGTCAAGGCATCTCCGAAGAAGCGTTCAGGAGTGATCAAAGGAACTCCCATACCAGCTTCTTCCAAACAACTCCCTCAACATGAGGTATTTCCGTCTGCTTTAAGCAAGAAACCAAAGTCTGCAACAGGTTCGGTGGTGTCCCAGAAACCACCCAGTAAGGGTATATGAATACCATAGCATGGAATTGCCAAGGTGCAGGAGTGGATCTGACAAAGTACCACCTAAGAGAGCTGCACCGCGTTTTTTCCCCTGCTTTTTTATTTCTTTCTGAAACTAAGAATTGTTTTTCCTTTATGCATGATTTTAAGACTTCTTTTGGTTATGATAACCTGTTCACTGTGGAGCCAGAGGGGCGAAGCGGTGGATTGGCTTTGTATTATTCTTCCTCTTCTTCTGTTACTATTCTATCTTCCTCTCCACGCATGATTGATATTGAAGCTGTTATAGAGGGAGTGAAGGTCTTTATGACATTTGTGTATGGAGAACCGGTTACTGAAAACCGTGGTTCTTTTTGGGAGTGCCTCTCGGATATGAGCTTTCACAGGAGAGGAGCTTGGCTTATGATCGGGGACTTCAACGAGATAACTGGAAACCATGAGAAGCGTGGCGGCAGGAGGAGATCGGACACGTCTTTCTTGGATTTCCGGAGGATGTTAGCCAATTGTGGAATGATAGATTTCCCTTTTAAGGGTAATTGCTTATCATGGGTTGGATACAGAGCATCCGGCAAAGTCCAATGTCGCCTTGATCGAGCAGTAGGCAACGAAGATTGGCATCACTCCTTTTCCCACACGAATGTGGAGTATTTACATCTCTGGGGATCGGATCACCGACCGGTGCTGGCAAGAATTATGTCTCACGAGGCTAAAGTCAAACGAAATTTCCGTTTTGATAAACGGTGGCTGGGAAAAGATGGATTTAAGGACACGGTAACCTCAGGCTGGAGATCATCGCCCAGTGCAGGAATTGGTAACGTGCACGGGAAGATTCAGTCTTGTCGTCGGGCTATATCGTCGTGGAAGAGGCTAAATAAATCGAACTCAGCGTTACAAATCGAGGCGATAAAAGAACAATTGGAAAGGGCACAAACGGACGACTCGGTACCAAGCGAAGAAGTGATGAAGTTGAAATGGGACTTGTGTAATGCCTTAAGAGATGAGGAACTCTTCTGGAGACAGAAAAGCCGTGTATCTTGGCTAAAAGAAGGTGACCGAAACACCAAGTTTTTCCATGCAACAACGAAGCAACGACGTGCTAGGAACCGGATTACAAAACTGAAGCGACAAGATGGCTCATGGGCTGAGACAGAAGATAGCATAGAACAAACTGCCACAGGTTATTTCCAAAATCTGTTCTCTTCTTCACGACCAGGCAATTTTGAAGAGGCCCTAAAATATCTCTCTACGCGAGTCACCCCTGCTATGAATACCGCATTGACTCGAGCTCCGTCAAATGACGAGATCAAAAAAGCAATCGCAGAGATCAACCCGGATAAGGCCCCTGGGCCGGATGGAATGACAAGCCTTTTCTTTCAGAGATTTTGGGAGGTTACAGCACAAGATATAATAACCATGGTGAAAGAGTTTTTCGAGACAAATTCTCTGGATGCAAAGCTGAACCAAACAAATATATGTCTAATCCCCAAAACAGAGAGACCGAGGGACATGACGGAGTTCCGCCCTATTAGCCTCTGCAACGTCAGTTACAAGATTATCTCGAAGATCTTAAGTAACAGATTAAAGCGGTGTCTCCCGAAGATCATTTCAGAAACACAATCAGCCTTTGTGGCTCGACGTCTCATCACAGACAATATTTTGATAGCACAAGAGTGCTTCCATGGCCTTCGGACCAACTCGATGTGTAAGACAAAGTTCATCGCTGTCAAAACGGACATGAGCAAAGCTTACGACCGTGTTGAATGGAGCTTTCTCGAGGCTTTGATGCTAAAACTCGGATTTGCTGAGTCATGGGTACATTGGATTAAGCTCTGCATTTCGTCGGTCTCTTATCAGGTACTATTGAATGGTGAGGCAAAAGGTAGTATTCAACCTACAAGAGGCCTCCGACAGGGCGATCCCCTCTCGCCTTTTCTCTTTATCATCCTCACGGAAGCACTCATCTCTCAATTACGTGGGGCTGAAGAAGAAGGGAGATTGACAGGCTTAAAAATTGCTCGAGCATGTCCACCAGTGTCTCATCTCCTATTTGCTGATGACAGTTTATTTTTCTGTCGAGCTGATGTCCTGCAATGTGCAGAGTTAATAAAAATCCTCAAATGCTATGGCCTAGCCTCTGGACAACAACTTAATACAGCAAAATCATCAGTTTTCTTTGGTAGCAAGGTACCAAATGAACAGAGAATAGCAATCAAAAATACCCTGGGAATCTCAAAGGAAGGAGGGATGGGAACTTACCAGAGACGATCAGTGGATCCAAAAAACAAGTTTTTGCCTTTGTCCAAGACAGGCTCAGTAGCCGCATCAATACTTGGTCCTCGCGCCTCCTATCAAAAGGCGGGAAGGAAGTGCTTATCAAATCAGTAGCACAAGCGCTGCCAACTTACGTCATGTCCTGCTTCCAATTGCCACTACAGATCATAAAGAAGCTTCAAAGCGCCATTGCAAACTTTTGGTGGAGTAATAAGCAGAATAGTAGAGGCCTTCATTGGATTGCTTGGGACAAGATTTGTCTTCCTCTTGACAAGGGTGGCCTCGGATTTAGAGACCTCCGGCTGTTTAATCTAGCCCTTTTAGCAAAACAGCTGTGGCGTCTTATTCAATTCCCTGAGTCTTTACTTGCACGGGTCCTGAAAGGAAGATATTACAGAAATGCCTTCCCACTTGATGTAGAGAAATCGAATAACCCCTCATTTGGCTGGAGAAGTATGCTTGCGGCAAAAGACCTCCTGAAAACAGGGTTGAGACGCTCCATTGGTAATGGAGAAAATACGTACGTGTGGAAAGACTCTTGGCTCCCAACGGAACCCCCGCGAGCCCCTATAGACTGTGGTTTTGTCCACAATCCCCTTCTACGAGTCTCACAGCTACTGGACCCGGTTACAAAGGAGTGGAATCTGGATAAGCTTACCGAGATGATGGATGTGGAGGATATAGAGTGCATTTTAACTATCAAAGCCAGTCGAATGAATCGACCCGATGGCTTTTGCTGGTCTTTCACGAAATCTGGTCTTTACTCGGTTAAATCAGGGTATCAACTCGCAGTCCAAATGAAAGATCTCCTTGACCCCCTTCATAATCTCCAACCAAGTGTGGATGCAATAAAAGCAAAGATTTGGTCGCTCAAAACCTCGCGTAAGATAAAACACTTCATCTGGCAATCTGTGGCTGGGTGCTTGCCAGTCCGGGATCGACTAGTTAATAGACATTGTGGCCAAGATCGAATCTGTCCAAGGTGTGGCATCGAGGACGAGACCATCAATCATTTACTCTTTGAATGTCCCTCTGCGGTACAGACCTGGGCCATGTCTGATATAACACAGCCTCCGGGAGTGTTCCCGTGTAAAGCCTTGTTCCCCAATTTTGACTATCTCTTGTGGAGAGCTACGGAAGCGGGTACAACGAAAAAGAGTCTTGAATACTTCCCATGGATCTTATGGTACCTATGGAAGGCGAGAATGATAAAGTCTTCAATGAAAAAGACGTGATGCCCCTGGATATCATACAACTAGCAATCGCGGAAACGGATGCATGGCAAGTGGCACAAGTGGTCTCCGAAGCCCTTGACACACAGCCGACCGCAACGACAAACCCTATCGCTCAGACAACTGTTATATACCCAAGATGCCAGGTAGATGCATCATGGATATATAATAACGCTTATTTTGGGGGTGGCCTCGTACTTGACTTGGCAGAGGACGTATGTACTACAGGATCCTTTGCGAACCCGCAGGTGCTAACACCACTACATGCGGAGTTCCGAGTGTTGATATGGGCAATGACAATGGTCACGCAGCTCGGGTATTACTCGATGGTTTTTGAATCCGACTGCCTCCAGCTAGTCAAGCTCATAGAAGAAGATGATGAATGGCCCTCGCTGGCCTCAGAGTTCGAAGAATTTCATTCTATTCGACTTAGTTTCACTCTCTTTTCACTTTCCTTTGTTCCTCGTACTTTAAATTTCCGTGCCGACGCCCTTGCAAAAGAGGCCCGGACACGAGCGTTTGTCTTTTCCCATGTAAACACTTTCACGGCCACTGGAATAGTTCTCGCAACTAATCCAAATGGCATCGATTAATAAAACATGGAGTTTCGCGGGAAAAAAAAAAAAAAAAAAAAAACAATTGCACCGTCTAGCTTCAAATCCTGGACTAACCCATTTCTCAATCTCTCTCTGTAATCATAACTAAGACCAGAGAAAGTTCGTCCTCGGCGATAGAAACCGTAAAGATTACCTTTTCGAGACGATTCCGTTGCAGAAACCTCTTCTCCGTCGACGAAATCACCATCACCTTCCACGTTTTCTCGATTGGGATCTTTACGATCTAAAGAAAACCTTGCGAGACAGAGAGAGAGGGAGCAAAATTCTCTAGTGAATTGAGTGAATTGCGTCTGATTCCGAAGATGTATTTTTGGGCCGTTGGATTAATCTGGTATCTGACGGTCAGGATTTCATGGTTTTTTTCTTACCAATCTCAATAACCGATTCTTTCACTATGTGTGTTCTGGTACGGTTTGGTCTTATAATTTCTATTTTTATTAAGCAAAGTTGTACAATGAATAATCGAATCTTAAATTTTAGTAACCAGCGCATTACATTACCAAAAAAATTTTAGTAACCAGCTTCAGCAGATATGGAAAACTTAATAGGGGATTTAATTGAGTCTCAAATGTTAAGAATAGTTTATAAACCAATCCGGTTTGTCAGAACCGAACGAAATCAAGATTCATCACATTGAATTTGAACAAAAAAAAAATTAAGCAAGTTGTATAATAAATAATCGAATCTTAAATTTTAGTAACCAGCTTCAGCAGATATGGAAAACTTAATAGGGGATTTAATTGAGTCTCAAAAGTTAATAATAGTATATAAACCAATCCGGTTTGTCAGAACCGAACGAAATCAAGATTCATCACATTGAATCTGACATTGAATTTCATTTCATTCTGCACACCAACTCCAACTATGAAGAGATTTCTGACAATTCCTTTTTTTATCTAAACCAAGATGAATCGATCTAACACTGTTTAGTGAAAGATCTGAAAAGCTATAGTTTACACACAAACAAAACTACAATCTCATAGAAAACTAACATGGACAAAAAAATACTTGACATGTTTTCTAAGTACATCATAACACATATATATTCAACAAAAGCTAAAGCTATGATTTCACTAGTAACAAATCAAGTATTTATTACCGATAAAAAATATGATTTTGGGATATTCTAATTTTAACCATCAAGAAGACACTTACCAAAAGTGATGTTGACAAAGGCTATAAGAAACTTATTCAAGCTAAAATATCTGTTTGGGAACACATTCAGAAACATATCCCTAAAGCATATTAGAAAATGGCACAACAAAAACTTAGGTCAGACATGACTGAAGGTTAATGTTCATGATTTGTGCATGATTCTGACGATGGCACAACACACAATATCCAGTGTTGCTTTGGCGATCAGAATTGTATGTGCCACCTAAAGAGTTCACAATCAAAGTGTAATGAAATTTCTGAGTGATATGCACAACCATCTCTATTCATGGCTTGTTTTGTGATAGAGGAGGAAGACGTGTGACTCTGCTTGCGTCCTACTCGGGTTCGGCTCGGCTCTTCCGTTTCCTTGGGTCCCAAGAAAGGCTCTTGAGGATTCTCTTGTGATTCCTTTTTCATGAAACTTGCTCGATTCTTCGAGATGTACACGATTGTCGGAGGAGAGGGACATGTTGGAACCAAATATTTGTAAGCCATTGGGCTGAATAAATATTATGTACAAACATGAAAAGAAATAGGTTTTGGCTCATTTGTTGAATGATAAGTAAACTAAGTTAAATGAAGTAGCATTTCATTTATCTCACACTGAAAAGAATGAACTTTTCCCATAACAAGGTTCATTATGGAAAAACACACATAACACACCATTGTGCCTAGCCGAGTTCAGACTTGGGTCTTGGTGAATGTGGGTTTTAACCCACACAAAGACTATTTTTTTGTCCTAATTTCTATTAGCATTTTTGTTAAAACCCAACACGAATTTGCATAATGTCAAGAATAAATCTTTTAAAAACTTCTAGAAATATTAAGTTCGTATGTTCGGTTTGATAAACACGAAAATAAATATGGAATAATTCCACATCCCTTTCAATAAACATCAAAAAGAATATCACGGTGATATTCTTTCCTTGTACGTCAATCCTTATCGCTTGGCGAGCAAGTCTCTTCTCAGCTACAAAAAATGGGCCTCACAGCTCTCATTATTTGTTCACTCGAAAATTATCTCTCCAGCAAATCTCCTACATCTCTCCTCTTCTTCTCCAAACATAAGTGTCTCGAGAGTATAGAGTAGAATATTAGTTCGCAGATTCTGTAGTTGGGTGTTGTGACTATAGTCTCATGCAGTTGTATTATGGGATTCAAAAGTCTCATCTTAACCGCCATACTGCGGGAAATTTATTGAATTAAAGAAAAAGATCAAATCTCGCCTCTGCGTATTCGTCTATTTCTTTATCGTTTTATTACTATATAATATCTATAAGATTTGTATTCGTATTTTTCACTCTAGATTTTTGTGGTCCTACAAGACAACTCTTTTTATTCTCATCTCGAGAAAGAAGAAATCTTTAGATGACTAAACCCAATACTCCTTTCTATTCTTCTTCGTCCGAGAGAGAGAAAGTTATCGTTGAAACTGTATATATATCTGGTTTTTCTTAATTTGGTCAGTAGGAGTCAATTACCGAACCGTCTTTTTGGTTAAACATGTCAAAGAAAATTACTTTTTTCTGACCAAATTGGGTTATGTTGTTTTTGGGTATGGAGAGCCTTTACTTTTTTTTTTTCTTTTTCTTGCTGTTGTTCTATATGTTATTTTTGGTTTTAAAATAAATAAATAAATCATCAAAAACACATGTATATAGTTTGATTTTCTTTTTTTAAAACTAATTATTCATTCTTAGAAAAAAAAAAATGGAACCATTCTCAGTTGGACACATGTATATACATCTATATAGTATTGTTATAACTTTTAATCATCAAGTATTGAAGGTGAATGCCAAGCTCTTATATTTGCAATGCAAAATATGTGGATCCTTGGTCATCGGAAACTCATATTCGAAGGAGATTGTAAGCAACTTGTCGATCTGGTTAACAAATTTTCTTTTAACTTTGGGATTAACAACTGGATAAGGGAGATTTGGTATTGGAAGAGTAAGTTTCATGTAGCCCTTTTCAAATGGACTAGACTAATGCCCGCGCATACGTGCAAGTTTTTCTGTTGTTATAATTTTTAAAAATGCTATAAAATAGTTATATGTTTGTGATTAATATTTTGATATGATATATAAATATTATAAATTCTAACACAATAAAACCCGTGTTTTAGTTCCAACTTACTTAGTTAGCGACTGACTTTCAATATATTTTTGCATCATATCACTCATTTTATGCGTAACTCTCGCTGTTTACTCACAACTACATGAAATGAATTCTGATTTCTCGTATTTAGTTAACAAAGTACTAATGTATTCAAAATTTGGAAGAGGTTGAACCTTTTTATAAATATGCTTATTTTTTCATGCTCCATCTTAAAAAAAATGAATATGAAAGAGACAATTCAGAGTTGGGGGCTAATATTATTATCATGGAGGATTAAATGATAGAAAAAGAGGTATTTGTAAAGACGACTTGTATATTAACTTCACGCCAATAGATATTTAATTTATTAACTTTTAAACTGTAGAGGAAAATGAAAGGTCAATTCTTTAAAAAAAAGAAAAAAAAAACTTACTGCCACATGTCATTTTCTACAGCATCCATGTGTCAAAAATATGGAGAGGGTTGACCTCTTTTCATACATATGATTCCAAGAGAATAAAACAAACTTGCAGATACATTAGCCAAAAGGAGAGTGCCGATTTCAATAACTTCAGTATATCACTCACTTATTCTGATTTCTTTATATCTGATGTATAACACAATTAGACCATCTCCAACCCCTCATGCCATATGTTATTGCAAATGGCAAAAATATAGCAATAGCATTGGGTTTCTCTCCAACCCCTCATGCCATATATCATGCTATAATTTTTTTCCAACTTATTATTAATTGTTAAAACTACTTGATTTCTTCAAATTTTACAAAGTGAATCATTTGTTTTTCTTTTTTTGCAAAAACAACCAGAATTATATATTTTTTTTTATTATTATAATATTAAAACAAAATACATCATATTACATAAAAATTATAGAAAACAAAGATTTTAACCTATTGTTTTATGTTTTTTGAATTTCAGTATTTTTAAAAATAAAATTTTAAGTTTATTATGGTTATGTTTTTATATTTCTATGAAATAAATATTATTTATATTTTGAAAAAGTTATGAGTATTGTTTATTTATTTAAATAAATCATAATCAATATAATTAAACTGTTAAATTAAAAGTAATTACAAATTGAAGGACTATTTTATAAATAAAAAAGTTCAATGGCAAAATAGCATATTGCATAATCTCATGCCAAATATAGAAGCAAAAATAGCATGATGCTATTTTGCAATAGCATATGCAATTGGGTTGGAGCAAAAATTATGGCAAAATAGCATATATGTCATATTTAGCATGGGGTTGGAGATGCTCTTATCTCTTATCTTCAAGTTAATATATAAGTTTGGGAACAAAAAACACTTTTAAATATCAACTAAAATAAGACAATAATAAATATTAATTGGTTTTAAATTTAAATTTTTGATATATGACTTAGTTTGTTAACTATATTTCTAAAATTTCATATTTTATATAACAAGGTTTCTTTCAATGATTCACAACATTTGAAACAAGATAACGTTATGACAATGTTACAAACTATATAACAAGTCACATGTTTTTTTTTTTGGAGAAAGGTAATAAGGAATGTTTTTAAAACCAGACCTGATGTCAAACCGGATGTGTCTTTGGATCATGGTCCAACTTAGTCCGACCGGTTGGACCGGAATTTCTAATTTTTAGTTATAAATATTTTTAAATATAGATATAGAGAAAAATATGAAAATTTAGTTAACCTTAAGTTTCCAGTATTTTAAAATTTCAAATAAAAACTTAAACGATTTCGAACCGACCCAGAAAACCAAAACTGAACACGAATGAAACTGAAACAAAAATCTGATGGGTTCTTGAATTCTAAACCCGAAAACCCAAAACCATACCCAAACTGAACCGAAAATCAAATGGGTGCCTGAAATTATATATTTAAATATCCAAAATATTATTTATATTTAGATTTAGAGATAATTAAAATACACAAAACTACAGTTGTAAATATATTATTTATGTTCATACCATATAATCTAAATACCCCAAAATATCCAAAAATATCTTATTATATAAAGCTGGATGCGCGCGTCGTGGTTGCTACACGTAGGATTTATATAATTTAAAGGATTGTGACATGTATCAATTTTTTAGTTTACAACTATTAAGATCTTGACATGTGTTTAGGAAAAGAAAAAAGAAACTAATTAAAAAGATATGAAAAAGGAGTTAAAATATATTTTCCATATTCTAACAGAAAAACATTGTATATATTTTATCGACAAAGGAAAAATAGTATTTTTGCAAGGCTCATATTCTAAGAGAAAAATATCCATATTCTAACGGAAAAAATGGAAAAAAGTGAAAAAAAATGGAAAAAAGTTCCATATGCTAACAAAAAAAAGAAAAATATTTTTGCAGACTTTAGATTTTAAGATTAAAAGGATCCATATTCTAACGGAAAAAAAAAGAAGAAAAAGAAGTATCTTTATGTCTTATCAAACCAAGGAAAAAATTAGATTTTCAATATTCTAACAGAAAAAGGAAAAATATTTTTGCAGGTAGTATATTCCTAAATAAAAATGTTTCATATTCTAATGGAAAAAAAAGAAAACAAAGTATCTTATATGTCTCCCTAAGCCCTATATAATAAGCTATAACCTTTAAAATTTAATTGTGTGCTTCCATCTGTTTTTAGAATAAAAAAGCATGTCTTCTAAAGTTCAAGAAAGCAATGCAGATTATTTGATTCTAAATCAATTAGATCCAAATTAAAATTATCGTTGTACGGTTGTATGTATTATTCGGACAGTGGGAATTAGAATTCCTAAAAGAATTGAGCTTTTATTACTTGATAAAATATGTTTACTGTAGAAATATTAGATAACTATTACTCTTTATTATACAGTGGAACTGAAATATTTTATGTTGTTCAAAGATTTCTTCTCGGATTTCAATATTATTTTAGTTACATTTAAGAGTAGTCATATTTTGTATAATATTTTTTCGTAAATTGTTTCAAAAGTTTTAAGATAAACTCCGCGTATACGCGGGACCTTGTCTAGTTAAAATTGAATATATTTTTTTGCAAAAAATTATCCAAATTTAATTAAAGTTAAACTTTTTGTGTAATTCAGCTACTCAAACCTGGGCAGAAACCGAACAAAAGATTTAAAACAGCCGAATGTGGCTAATAGTTTTAAACCCAAAAACTAAACAAACTCAACCCGAATCGAATAGGTACCCGAAGTCCCATGCTTTGCGTATTTGAGTATTTCTAACAAAACCAATATTGAATAACGAAATGGTCGATGAGTTGATATATATATATCTGCACCGACGGACCAGGAATAATGAAACTCATCGAACAAATCTTTCAAACACATCTGCACCTTTTTTAGGATGGACCATAAATCGCTATCATTTGATATTTTCTAAAATATGTCCTTTTAAAACAAATTAGGAGAGTACCCGCGCAACGCGCGGGTTTAATTTTATAAAAGTTTAATTCCTAAATTCATATCAAAACAAAACTTAGTAACCATTTGTTGAAATGTTGTATGATGATGATCTACGTAGTAAACAAAGCAAATTTAAAATGGTATCAAATTTATGAATTGCTTATATAAATAACTTTACAAAGAAAATGTTTGAACTACAACCATAACAAAATACAACATCTTTTGTGAATCTAGAACTAAGAAAACTTTTTAAAACAAAATTTTCATCTGTGAGTTTGTGTCACGATTCTCAAATTGTTTATAAATACTCTTATTTTCCATCATGTGCCCCTTCATCAACCTCTAAATGCTCGTGATGCGCGTTTTTTTTTTTAAATCCAAATATACATTATATACTTTAGAGTTGCTTAAACCAGGTATATTAAATCTTATTTCACTTTGTGGAATGGTTTCTTGCTTATAGAGTTGCTTAAAAGGGATGGTATTATTTTGGCACTTTCTTATGAAATATAATATGTTCTGTAACCAAAAAGGGAATAATTTGGTTCAAGTTAACTTATCTATATAAAGGCAAAAGAGAAATATAATACCATCCATCCGAAGTATAACACTGACTGTGGATGCGATATGAAAGTTTAGACTGAAATTTCAAACTTAACGCTGATAAAGAGCATCATGTCCCTAACCGAACTACTGATAGAAGACGCGGAGTCATTGAGGTTTGTGTGGATGAATGAATGAGTCAACATACTAATGTTCTTGAGTCTTATCCAAGTTTGAGAAAAATGGAATCAAGGCACAAGATCTATCATTACCCATCAGCACGTCCGCACTGTCCAGGCCTTAATGAGATACATGCTAACAAACGACCACTTGCAAACTGATCCTCAATGTGGGAATCAAGGGTACGTCCTTCTTGACGCTGCTCAATCTTTCTCAGGACATGGTTGGACTTCTTGGTCTCCTCAAGAACAGCAGGAAGCAGCTGCTGTTGCATCATCACCTTCCTCTCCTTTCTTCTTGGCAGAAAAAGCAGCATTCTTCTTCTTCCGGCCAACTTCGACACCGTAGTACTGGAGGTACCACTGCTTGAAGGGAGCAGCATCGAAGTGAACAATGGCACTCTTGACAGGTGTGTTTGCACAAACAAAGTCATTATTGGAAGCGTTGTAGACAACATCAAGGACTCTGGTCTTGCAAGTAACTGCTTCACTTCCCCAAGAATAGTTACTGGTATCGAGTCTCAGCGCTCGCCACTTGACGTTACCTCCACGAACTCTGAATCTTCTGACTGTCTTGTTGGTCGACAGCTTTGTATTGGCAGGCTGCCTTCCCATTTTGTACCTTCACAAACCCAACACTCAAAATTTTAGAAGCCACACAAGATACATCAAGGAGATTTAGAATCAGCAGCAGCACCAGGATTGTGAGAAACATAACAGAACAAATCGAACAAACAAGATGGAAGACAATGTTTTAGCATTTAAAATGAGTTTCATTCTCTGATCTTTAGAAACATTTCTACCAAAATTACAGTTCCAGAGTTTACAGTCATAATTCTAAGACCGTGATATGAGTTTAGGAATTTGAATAGATAATAATAGAATGAAACTATTAAACAGATCACAAACTATTAAACAGAACACAAAATCTAAACTAAGCGTAATGTTTTTTGAGGGATTGACACAGACCTTCAATCAAAAACATGACAAAAGCAGAGCAGATGATATAAATCGGAACAGATCTAAACGATGAAAAAATAGAAACTTACTTTCGCTTCTTCCTCCATTGCGAATAGATAAGACCCATTATAAGACAGATTAAGTGGCAATGAACAAATACAAAACAGTAGTTATAAAACTTGCTAGTTCCTCCCAAAGGTAGAGACATAACCTCCTCTTAAAACCTGAAAAAGAAGATAAAACACGGCTTATAAGAATTCGATCCACCAGTAAGGACATGCATACAAAAAACTATAAAGAAGTCATTTTGGGGGTTTTACTTGGTAATATCCTTGTAACGAGCAGCAAGGAACTGTTTTGCAGTATCAGTTAAAGGCTGAACAGCTTTAGCCATTAAAACACTGGAGGGAAGCTCGGGATAGAGCAACGCAGACTTGTGTGTCATATGCATATTTCGGAGAACTCTACTGCAGTGCCTCATGCAAGAGGCAACCTCAAATTTATCAGCAGCCATCAACACATCTAATAAGACAGGCACTGTAGCTACAGTTACAGCGTTGGTATACATAAAGTTTAAGAGCTCCATCAAAGCAGCTTCTCTGCCATACAAACACAAAGTAAAGAATATTTGTAAATCAAAGCCATCTATGATCTATCATATGAAACAGATACACAACGGAACAAAATATGTGAACCATTTTGGTCTAGCCATGTTAAAAATATAAAGCAAAGGATAAATTAATATCGCCTTCAGATATGTTCACATGAAACACAAGCCCGTAGCTTCCGTTGAAATGGCCTACCTGATACATTTATTCTAAGAGTGACATGCCTCTGCTCAGGTTCTCTCACTCCATTGGAGAACAACTATAACATTTCCGGGAAGAGAAAAAAAAAACAGAAACAAACGAAACTAAGAGTGAGATGTATATATATATACACTACATGAGCAAAAGTAACGACTGATACCTTGTAAAAGAAAGGGGTTTTGGCAGCTAAGATAGGAGAACTGATATGAAGTTCTTTAACCCATCACGCATAAATTAACAGTTCATAAATTGACACATATCGAGATCGATACCAATGAGTATATAAACAATCCACTAAGAACGCAGTTCAGTCAAAAAAATCAGTCAAAAACATACATATCATCAACAATCAGACATGGAAAACTATTCTCAGCAAATCTAAAATATTCGGAAAGCTAATCGAGAAACTTACTTCCCGGATAGAATGGAGCCATGAAAATCGGAGCTCTAACACCGAGCCTCTAATGTCTTTGGGATTCATGTGTGAGAAAGAGAGAGATGAACATTAACGTCAATCCAAAGAGAAGTGAAAGCAAAGACGAATCAAGGAAGAATCATAGAAAGAGAGAGAATTAGTTTTACAATCACGAACATACGATTGAAATAGCAGATAAAGATTGTGATGAGGACGACTTTGAGCGAGAAAAGAGAGAGGGATCAGAGCAAAAATCCAGACTTTTATCAACAAAGACGACGAGGACGGAGCGAGAGGAGAGAGAGATCAGGCATATGGGTGTAGGTTTTTATAGTGGGAGTGGAGAATTGAATAGCGAGGATTGTAGATTGAAGATCGGAAGAGAGAGAGCTCTGAAACGGCTGTAGCCGGAATGCAGGGGGTCGCGGCTGACATCGACTGAGGAAGGCGGAGGGTTGCTCTCGTCTATTGAATGTATTAAACCCAAAATCGAGACGACGTCGTTTTCTTCGAACTAAAAAGAAGACATTTCAAGACGGCGTCGTTTTGGTGTGATGGGGGGGGGAACAAATCCGTAGGCAAAACGACGTTTTGGCGGTTGGAAGAAAAAAAAAGAAAGGTGCCACGTGTCTCGAATTGGAGAGTGGCCAAACTTTATTAGTTATGTAGATTCATATTCTTTTCTTTAAACAAAGTCATATTTTTTTGTTGTTCTTTTTTTCTTTAAAATCGTTTCAGAACGTTTAATGGACTAATTATCAACAATCAAGAATCAAGATAATCTAAACACTATTTTTGATATTAGCATTACAATATACCAAAGTTTCATTAATGCTAAATAAAAAAGCGAACCAAAGTTTCATTAATGCTAAATAAAAAAGCGTTTTAGAACGTTTCATAGAGTAATTATCAACAACCAAGAATCGACATCTCTATAAAAGTATATCTAAACACACGCGTGGGATACACATATAATCAGACCAACCAAACAACCGAATAAAAAGAGAGAACATTTGACTTTCTACACCAACGTGCGTGCATGCAAATCAAGCCCTTCTCTTACCAAACACATACATATATTACAAATGAAGATGCGAGTAAACATTCATAGGTACGAAAGCGTGAAGGAGAGAGATTTAAAAATGGGGTCAAAAACACAAAACTCTAGAGGGAAAATTTTCATGGTCTATCTAATACTAATCTCATTTTCACTTCTGTGTTTGATCTTAGCCTTTAAACCTCTTTTTGTGTTAAACGAAATCATCACTTCTCCATCGTCTGATATACGGATTGATCTTCCTTCGCCGCAAGTCAACAACAACCCAAGATGGCTCCGGCTCGTCCGTAACTATCTACCGGAAAAGCGTATACGAGTCGGTTTCCTTAACATCGATGAGCAAGACCGTGAGAGCTACGAGGCTAGTGGACCGTTGATTCTGAAGAATGTCCACGTGTCATTAGATCGTATTCCGGAGAGTGTAACGTGGGAGAGTCTCTTCCCGGAGTGGATCGACGAGGAAGTTGCTACCTGCCCGGAGATCCCTCTCCCTAAGCCGGTAGGTTCTGATGCTGACGTGGACGTCATCGTTGCTAAAGTTCCTTGCGACGGATGGTCGGAGAATAAAGGGCTGAGGGATGTTTTCAGGCTTCAGGTTAATCTGGCGGCGGCGAATCTAGCCGTGCAGAGTGGGTCAAGGAAGGTTGATCCGACGGTGTACGTCGTGTTCATCGGATCATGTGGGCCCATGCATGAGATCTTCAAGTGCGATGAGCGAGTGAGGCGCGTGGAGGATTATTGGGTGTATAAGCCGAATCTCTCGAGGTTGAAGCAGAAGCTTCTCATGCCTGTTGGTTCATGTCACGTCGCTTCTCCATTTGCTCAACTTGGTAAACTTTGATTTCTTTCTCTCTTTATTTTTTCTAGAATTACTGAATTACTATGGGCATCAAAAATGTTAAAGTATCTAAACTTAAAAACATATTATTATATATTAACAAAACACAATTATTTAATACCAATTAGAAAAAGAAAAAATATTCCCTTTTAAGTAATTTCCACGTTTTTACATATATTTTTATATATTTCGTTCTAATTTAATCATTCCTGTAAAAGGCATAGAATGGTTAAATTAATAATAAAATATGTCTAAAATGTAAGGTAAAAATGTAGAAATTAGAATCATCATATTGGATCAAGGCTGCTCTCTCAGAGGCAGTTTCTTCAGGTATCTGAGTCTTGAATTGTTACTTAGACTAAAAAAACCTCATCTCTCTGCTCATGGCAAATGGCAACTCCGTTGAGCTTCAAGGATTCCTCCACGACATTCGCGTGAGTGTTGAGTAGTTCCTTTGTTTCTATATCCTTTTCTTTTGTCCCTCGTTTAGAGAATGTAGTTTCCGATGCAGTAGCTAAATCGGCCTTGTACCATTTTCAAGCTCTTCCTCTTTTGGATGAGTAAACTCTGTTTCCGTTTTATAAGATGAATGCAAGAAAGGTTTGACCAAAAAAAAAAAGAATCATCATATTGGATATGATTTTATTGGTGGGTCATAATTGCTAACACGTAAGTACTTGTTTTTAATAAAAGTAAGTAATATGGGGTTAATCCGTTAATGGTTGGTGCGATTAGCGTACGTGCAGAGTATGCATTCTCTAAATTGATATATCAACACGACAACACGTATATAGTTCTTTCTTAATATTTCTTTTTATATCCTGCCATAGAGTTTTTCCATTACCGAGCAATCGTGCTCAACATATATAGTTCGTGGACGGAATCGTAACATTGTTTCTTTTGCATATTTAAATAGTACAAAACAGTAATAATCTTTTTTTGTCCCAAAGTTATCAAAACTAAAATTCTTTCTTTTCAAATACTGCGAAGCTTAATTTTGGATTCAATTTTTCTATGACACGTATAAATTGTTTCCTATAAAAAAGAAGGTCTTACTACTATTTACCTTTATTATTAAATAAATTAAATAGCTACTGTTATATGTCTTATCCTTGGATAATAGTTATATACAGGGCCGGCCCTGAGGCAAGCCAAGTGAGGCTTTTGGCTTGGTTCCCACATTTTTTTTAAAAATATATATTAATTTGGCCCAAAAATTTTAAAAAATCGATTTTTGACCCCTAAATTCATAAAAATCTTACTAAATTATTCTGACCCCCGATTTTCCAGGGCCGGCCCTGGTTATATATAATTCATATGCCGATTTGTAAACCTTGCGAGTTACGACTAGTTAGAATTGAGGGTTAAGACCCTATTTCTAAAGAATAACCCACATAAATTATGTAGATATATCTGCATGATTATAAACTTTATAATCAATTAATCTTGTCTTTTTGCATTATTATAATTAATTAATCTTAGTCAGAACCTGCTTACCACGTACAAACTTTGGTGTACAAATTATAATCAATCCTATTATATGTGCACACCAAACTTTCCTCTTTGTACTTTTTTCTCATTGCTTCTTTCATCAAAACATTACTTATTCGTTATCTCACTTGTAATTTTTGAACTACTATCATTTGCAGGCCAAGAAGCATGGAGACCAAAAAATGAAGATAATATGACATCCGATGCTATCCGTAAGCAACGCGTCGCCTACGTGACAGTACTACACTCGTCCGAGGCCTATGTTTGTGGAGCAATAGCATTAGCACAAAGCATAAGACAATCAGGATCGAATAAGGACATGATTCTCCTCCACGATCAGTCCATAACCAACAGGTCCCTTATTGGTCTCAGCTCCGCGGGATGGACTCTTCGGCTAATTGACAGAATCCGCAGCCCTTTTGCGAAGAAAGACTCTTATAACGAGTGGAACTACAGCAAGTTGCGTGTGTGGCAAGTATCTGACTACGATAAACTTGTGTTCATAGATGCAGATTTCATCATCCTCAAGAAGATGGATCATCTCTTCTACCATCCGCAACTCTCAGCTTCAGGCAACGACAAAGTGTTGTTCAACTCCGGAATCATGGTAATGCAACCAAATAATAATACAACATTGTGTTTTTTTTTTTTTTTCACCGAAAAACATAAATCATTAATTAAGAAACTATATGTCATTTTTTTCTTACATTAGGTTCTCGAGCCATCGCCATGTCTATTTAAAGATCTAATGGAGAAGTCGTCCAAGATAGAGTCATACAACGGAGGAGACCAAGGGTTTCTAAATGAGATATTTGTATGGTGGCACAGGTTACCGAAACGGGTGAACACAATGAAGTTCTTCGACGAAACAATCAAGGGACCACACGATCTTCCGGAGAATCTAGAAGGTGTGCACTACTTGGGATTGAAGCCATGGGTATGTTATAGAGACTATGATTGCAACTGGGATATGAGTGAGCGGCACGTGTTTGCGAGCGATTCGGTGCATGAAAAGTGGTGGAATGTATATGACAAGATGTCAGAGCAGTTGCAAGGTTATTGTGGATTGAATAAGGGAATGGAGAAGAGGATTGAGAAGTGGAGAAAAATTGCCGAGAACAATAATTTGTCTGATAGGCATTGGGAGATTGAAGTGAAAGATCCTAGGAAGACGAACCTTCTTGTTCAGTGAGAGGGTTTTAGCTTTGATTTTGTTGGAGTTTTCAGGAAAGTTGGGAACCTTTAGATTCAAGAAAGGGTTTTTCTCCTGTAATTTTTATAAGATATAAAGGAGAATTTTGGCGCGATAATGTATAATGTCAAATTTTACTTGATATTGGATTCGATTCATTAAACCCTACTCGAATAAAACCGACTTCTATTTGGTGGAGTTGACATTTTTTTTTCATTTGTCACGTGAATTCTATTAAAATTTAGAAGAATGCATATTTAACTTATACTAGTGAAGTACGTGTTATTACCATCTCCAACACAGAGCCAGTGCAGTTTTGAGCTCTGTTTGAGAAAACCTTCGTCAAAGAGGGTGAAGCTGGGATAGTGAAATTGAAGAAAGAAGACTAATGCAAATTTAGGACTTCAGGAGATGAAAGTATTATTTTTAACTCCTCTGTTTCAATAAAAGTGTCCTTTAAAGTTGTTGCATACAAATTAAGATGACATATTAAAATTTCTACAATGTCACTAATTAATAAAATATTTCATTTACTTTTTTTGTTAACACACTAAATACATGAAGACAAAACTTGAAATTTATCTTATGCATTGGAAATCTAAAATGAAACTTCAACGTAAATGGAGGGTGTATTTGGTATATTAGTAAAGTATTATACTCTTTTAAAAAGAAAGATATATACAATTCACCAAAAAAAAAAAAAAAAACGAAAAATATATACATAAAATGCTGAATAAAAGTTTGTTGACAGAAAGAGGTAGAAAGAGATCGAAGATACTACGAAAAAAATTTACTAAAAAATGACCTTGATTATTTATGAGAATCCTACATATTTCAAAAAGAAAGATAAAAGACATGACATAAATTCATTGTTAGAACAGAATAAAACACCGAATTCGTTATTTCATATAAAGCACTGAAGGAAGAAATACTACTAAATCTTCTTTCCCTTGTCCTTCGAAGGCATTGATTGAGATGTGGAAGCTTGTTTCTCCACAACAGATTTGTTCAACATTTTGAGCAGAGCATTGAATAGTAGACCCTCAACTTTTTTCTTCTCAGCATAATCGATAACCTTCTTTTCCAAATCCTATATTTTACAAAAATCTATTTAACATTTTGTACATTAAAAACAGAAACGACAAAGACATAAAGCTACCTTTGCATGCTCTTCTTCAATTTCAGATTTTTCTTTGACCCGATTGAGTTCACCTTTGATCTTGAGAATCTCGGTCTTTGTAAGAACCATTTCTTGATATTTTGTTTGTTTAGTTGTAGAACCGTTCTGTGACTAACTTTTTATCTGCTTCCTTTCTTCGTTCTCGGTCCTTAATTTATAGACTGTGTCAAGTGATTAAAATTATTATATTATTTTTTTGGGTAAAATGTGAAGATCATCTGCGAAGTGATTTTCGTGAATGGAGCACCACGTTAACTCTCAGCCGCGGAATTACCAAGATGCCCTTAATGAAAATCTATTATTAAATCTTCTGAATTTCCTTTTTTAATTATTTCACAATTTCGTTTTTTATATAAAAGTTCATTATTTCCTTATTAATTTCCTTATTAAATATTGATAATTATCCTTTTTTTTTTCCTCGATTTATATTTATCACTTAAATAAATATCCTAACTATCATATTACCGCACCACTTTTCTGGAAGAAATCAAATAATTAGGTATTTTAAAAAAACTCTAGATTTTACAACCGACTTAGTCCTATTTAACAAGCAAAATAAACAGAATTTCGTTTCTTCTTTTTCGTGTTCTAAATTCTTCGATTCCATATTTCATCTTTTGTCATGTAGGTTTATAGTTATTGCTAGATCTTAGTTGTATTAGATCTAATGTTTAACTGATTATTCGTTATTTTCTGGAAATTTTATTCAAAGAATCGCATCTAACTTCTACTTCTTTTACCTTTATAACAGTAAATTCCAGGTTTGTTAGCTAATTGAGTCAAAGAAATCAACTATGGTACCAACTCAAAAAAAATGCATTGACAAAAATTAGTGGTATGTACATCTTTCGTTTTTATTTTCAACTTAAATCTTATGAAACCCTAATTTGAATAAACTTATCTAAAAAGATTTTGTAAAATGTGGGTTTAGGTGTATTTTAAAAAAACTTGAATTATTACAGAAGAATTTCATAATAAAAAAATCATTTATTTGAAATTTATATCTACTTTCAAAATTACATTCACAAATAGAAAAAAAAACTAAAACAACTAAAGAAAATCCAGAATTGAAAGATAACAAAACTAATAAATTTTTAAAAGACCTCAACTATATAAAGATAGAATCTATTTCAAAAATATTGAAAATTTTAACTATCGAAATGAATTGGTAGGTGATATGCAAGACACAAACAAGACATAATAGATACATAAGTAAAAGAAAAGAAAACAGTGAAAAAGAAGATGAAAAATTTAGAAAAGAAAAAGAAAAGTCGAACATGAGGAAAAAGAAAGGAAAGAAGAAATAATGGAATGTGAAGAAAATTCCAAAACAAATGAAGAATATTACGTAGAAGAACAAGAAAGAGAAGATAAAAATAAGACACCTCAAGATTACAAAAATAAGAAGTTTGCGAAAACAAAAACGATGAATACAATAAAAAGTTGTACTACTTATATTATTTAAATCTTTAATTAATAATTGTATTTAAAAAATATTGTACCCGCACAAGGTGCGGGACAACCACCTTGTAAATTAATATATTAGTAATTTTAATGCTATGATAGAAAAAAAAAACACAGAAAAAAATGTTTGAAGGAATAAAAAACCAAAAACATCACCGCCGCCTCCTCCTCTAATAAAAGAAATGTGATATTATTAAGAGGGCAACATAACTGGTATTGGGTTTATAATTTAAATTGTGATTGAGTTTTCTAAATTATTCTAGAGTTTTGGTTTTCTATATAAGAATGTTGTAAGACACTTTCACAATAAAATTAAGAAATATCAAAAGAAATTTATCCTCATCTCTAATATCTTTTATAGAGGAAAACTGTATGTTCACAGTAATCTAATAGATAATCGAATCGATGTTCTTAAAACACAGATCCTAATTTCATGTAGCAACAGTTTAGAATGAAGAAACAACTCAAACAAACAATGAAAAGAAATAAACCTAGAATCATAGAGAGAAAAGAGAGAAGAGGATGACAGTGTTGAATGGGGATTCCTATAAGCCCTTATGCTCAAGATGGGTTTTGATATCAAATGGGTTTCTTTGATCAAGAGATGTATATCATCGGTGTCATACCAAGTCCTCCTGAATGGAGAGGCAAAAGGGTGTATCAATCCATCAAGAGGCCTGAGACAAGGGGATCTCCTATCCCCTTTTCTCTTTATTATCCTTACAGAAGCTTTGATAGCACAAATAAAAGCACAGAAACAGAGGGACGCATCACGGGGCTAAAAATAGCCCAAACATGTCCACAAATCTCTCATTTACTATTCACAGACGATAGCATCTTCTTCTGTAAAGCGGATATCCAGCAATGTACTGAGCTTATGCGAATTTTTACCTGCTACGGACAGGCCTCAGGCCAACAACTAAATGCTACAAAGTCTTCCATTTTCTTTGGGAGTAAAGTTCCCCAAGACGATAGAATAGCTCTAAAGAGAGCCTTGGGAATTACAAAAGAAGGAGGGATGGGTCTGTACCTAGGACTACCAGAAAACATATGTGGCTCAAAGCAGAAAGTGTTCACCTTCGTTCAAGAGAGATTAGCCAAACGGATCAACACTTGGTCAGCAAAGTTTCTGTCAAAAGGAGGCAAAGAGGTCCTTATCAAGTCCGTTGCGCAAGCCCTCCCTACTTACGTAATGTCTTGCTTTCTTCTCCCAAAATCTATTACTAATAAGCTACAAAGTGCCATCTCTCGATTCTGGTGGAGCACAAAGCAAAATAACAAAGGAATGCATTGGATTGCATGGGAAAAGATTTGTATTCCCCTAGAAGAAGGAGGCTTGGGGTTTCGAGATCTAAAGAACTTCAACATAGCTCTGTTAGCTAAACAACTATGGCGTATACTACATTACCCCTCTTCACTGCTGGCAAGAGTTTTAAAAGCACGATATTTCAGACATTCGAACCCATTAGATATCGAAAAATCAAATGCTCCATCGTGTGGATGGAGAAGCATGCTAGCGGCCAAGGAGCTTTTAAAAGCAGGTATAAGGAAAAACATAGGGTCCGGCGTTAACACTATGGTGTGGAAAGAACCATGGATCCCAACCACACCTGCTCGACCCCCAATGGAAACTGACAGACCCTCGGATCCTTTCCTTTACGTTCACCATCTTATAGATCATGATACGAAAAGCTGGAAAGAAGAACTACCGCGTATCCTCTTCCATCCCGATGATGTTCGGAGAATTCTTACTATAAACCTTAGTCGGTCGTCAAGACCGGACATTTATTGCTGGTCTCTGACTAAAACGGAACTATAATCAGTCAGATCAGGCTACACGTTAGCTATGAAGCTAAAAAACACAGAGCAGGACCAAGCATTAACAGAAACAAGTACGACGGCTTTAAAGGGAAAAGTGTGGACTTTGAAAACAGTAAGGAAGATAAAACACTTTCTATGGCAGGCGATTGCAGGATGCATCCCCGTCAGACAAAATTTGGTATCAAGACACTGTGGAACGGACAAAAGCTGCCCCCGATGTAACACAGGGGATGAAACCATCAATCATCTACTTTTTGAATGTCCATTGGCGGTCCAAACGTGGAGCCTATCCAATCTCCCAAGTGAGCCGGACGTATTCCCAAATGGAGGCTTATTTCAAAACCTCGACCAGCTCTTATGGCGAATCAAAGAAGGAAGCGCTCCGGGCGGGCCAGACAATATCATTGCGAGATGGCCATGGATCATATGGTATATATGGAAGGCACGAAATGAAAAGCTCTTTAATGATAAAGAGATACAATCTGAAGATACCATACAACTGGCGTATACGGAAGCGGATACCTTCGCTGTGGCTCAAGTAGGAGACAGAGTGGGGGAAACTAACACAGCACAAGGTGTAAGTCCGCACCCTCTTGAGGACGCGAGTCCCGTAACACATTGCCAAATAGACGCATCATGGCTCTATAACGGCAATGTCTTTGGTGGTGGTATGGTAATTGACGATGTTGACGGAGGACGAACTTATGGCTCATGTGCACGTACACAAGTTATATCCCCCTTACATGCAGAGTTCCATACCTTATTGTGGGCAATGAAGGAAGTCCTTACGTTGGGATATACTTCTATGACCTTTGAAACTGATTGCATGCAGCTTATCAAGTTGCTTGAAGAAGAAGATACTTGGCCCTCGGTGGAGGCAGAATTGGAAGAATTCAACTATCTTTCCACTGCTTTTGTTTCTTTTGCAATTTCTTTTATTCCACGTTCATGTAACGGCTGTGCTGATCGCCTCTCCAAAGAGGCCCGCGCACGAGGTTCTATTCACTCTGTTGTAAACAATGTGATGCCAAGTTGGTTAGTCGTCTAGACGAGCCCGCTTGCATCTTTTAGCTTATCAATAGAGTTTTTGACGACAAAAAAAAAAGAGAGAAGAGGATAAATTTCTTTTGATATATCTTAATTTTATGGTGAAAGTGTCCTACAGCCTTTTTATATAGAAAACCAAAACCCTAGAATAATATAGAAAACCCAGTAACAATTTAGATTATAAATCGAATACCAATTACGTGGCCCTCTTAATAATATCACATTTCCTATATCAAAGATACCTTTAATAGAGGAAAACCGTATGTTTACGATAATCCAATAGATAATAGAATCGATGTTCCTAAAACACATATCCTAATTTCACGTAGCAAGAGTTTGGAATGAAGAAACAACTCAAGCAAACAATGAAAATAAGTAAACCTAGAATTATAGAGATAAAAGAGAGAAGAGGATAAATTTCTTTTGATATTTCTTAATTTTACTGTGAAATTGTCTTACAACTTTTTTATATAGAAAACCAAAACCCTAGAATAATTTAGAAAACCCAATAACAATTTAGATTATAAAACCCAATAGCAATTACGTGGCCCTCTTAATAATATCACATTTCCTATATCAATTTACGTGTTTTAGAAACAACGATTCTATTATCTATTGGATTATCGTGACCATACGGTTTTTCTCTATCAAAGGTATCAGAGCTATTCTTTCCTCGAAATTTGTGGCGGACACACGAAATTCATATGTGCTTCAGGAAGTTAATGTACAACGATTGCTAGAAAAGTTACAATCTCTAAAGAATACAATAGCCGAGGGATATCAAACAATCAAAAAGGGTTTGGCTGATGTCTGCGGAGGTTGGGCAGATATGCGTAGAGCACTTCGATTAACTGTTGAGTTGCTTCACAACACAAAAATCAGTGTGGATATTGACTCTACGAACGGGCGTGAATTGCATGAGACCACTGAATCATATATAGTGATTCATTCTGTTCCACAATCTCAGGTACCAAATTCTATCATGGAACATAGTCATAGATTTTGCAGTAGATCTTTAGACGTTTGTGAGGATTTTCCATAGAAATATGTTGTGGGAAGCGATCAAGTTCAGTTTTAGTCTGATTTTGAATGTGTGAATGACAAAGAGAATTCATACCACATGCTCGACAAGGAAAAGTACACATTACCGCAAAGGCAGAAAGTGAGTTTGTTTTTGAAGTCTTGGAAATTCAAGTTCAAAGGAAAATTTGAAGCTGAATTTTGCTCTGAGTCACATTCTGGTTTGGATTTTGATGTTGGTGTCACATCTGTGGCAATGGTGATAAGAAGACTTACATGAAGCACAAGTGGAGGTTTAAGTACAAGTTCAATATATGGAAAACCTTGACCGCAACGTTTATGTAGTTCGATTAAATATCTCCCATAGCTTTAGTTGTAGAAAAATGCCACTAGGATCCAAATTTTGGTTGGATCGAAGCAAGGAACTTGATTGTTGCTTATTTACTACAACTAAAAAGGAAACTGCAGACAAGTTGTCAGTCTTGTTTCTCCAACGATGCCAAACCTGCAATTTCTCATATCTGTTATTTCTCCAGAAGTGAAGTTCTTCACTAAACCATATATTGAGCTTGTACTTAAACCTCCACTTGTGCTTCATGTAAGTCTTCTTATCACCATTACCACAGTTCTGTTCATCCATTGATATACCAGTTGTGACACCAACATCAAAATCCAAACCAGAATGTGACTCAGAGCAAAATTCAGCTTCGAATTTTCCTTTGAACTTGAATTTCCAAGACTTCGAAAACAAACTCAGTTTCTGCCTTTGCTTTAATGTGTACTTTTCCTTATCAAGCAGTGGTATGAATTATCTTTGTCATTCACACATTCAAAATCAGACTGAAACTGAACTTGATCGCTTACCACATCATATTTTTATGGCAAATCCTCACAAACGTCTAAAGATCTACTGCAAAATCTATGGCTATGTTCCATGATAAATTTGGTACCTGAGATTGTGGAACACAATGAATCACTATATATGATTCAGTGGTCTCATGCGATTCACGCCCGTTCATAGAGTCAATATCCACACTGACTTTTGTGTCGTGAAGCAACTCAACAGTTCATTGAAGTGGTCTACGCATATCTGCCCAACCTCCGCAGACATCAGCCAAACCCTTTTTGATTGTTTGATATCCCTCGGCTATTGTATATTTTAGAGATTGTAACTTTTCTAGCAATCGTTGTACATCAACTTCCTGAAGCACATATGAACTTTGTGTGTCCGCCATAAATTTCGAGGAAAGAATTAGCTCTAATACCTTTGATAGAGGAAAATCGTATATATGTTCACGATAATCCTATAGATAATACAATCGATGTTCCTAAAACACATAAATTAATATAGGAAATATGATATTATTAAGAGGGCCACGTAATTGGTATTGGGTTTTATAATCTAAATTGTTATTAGGTTTTCTAAATTATTCTAGGGTTTTGGTTTTCTATATCAAAAGGTTGTAAGACGCTTTCACAATAAAATTAAGAAATATCAAAAGAATTTATCCTCTTCTCTCTTTTATCTCTATGATTATAGGTTTACTTCTATTCATTCTTTGCTTGAGTTGTTTTTTCATTCTAAACTCTTGCTACATGAAATTAGGATCTGTGATTTAGGAACATCGATTTTATTATCTATTAGATTATCGTGAACATACGGTTTTCCTCTATCCTGCTCCCGATTGAAGGATTCCTGCTATTTCAGGAAACCATATAGCTCATAGGTTTTATTAGATTTATTCTATTTCTTGTGAGGTTATGAAGCCATAGAGGTTCTAATTTGGTGATATTAATTTCGTTTCTTGGAGAGGGATGTCAAATATGTGGAGTTTTTGAGGGAATTTGGACATTCTATGTTTCTCTATGTTATGTTTGCACTATAATTTGTTTGACAGAATAAATAATTAAATGAAATATTTTAATTACTCTTTTTTTACGAAGACTAATGACTGTTTTTTTATGGAGTCTGCAACTAAGCTCCATTATTTAGATGGATACGAGATACGAGATACAAGGAGAAAAACAACAAGAAACACCAACAAAAATAAGCACAATCATGGTTGCAGTTCTTACAACATGAACCACGATCCATGATAGTTCCGACGATGAATGTTGTGGTTTTCTTGTGCCCCCTCATAGGTCAGCATTCTTTTTGTTTTGAGTATTCTTTGAACTCCGTCTTTTTTCCTTTCGTTTTCCCAAACAATAAGTTCGGGTGATTTATATTAAAATGACAAATCTCCTACTATTCACACATGAATTCTAAACTCTTTTAAAATATGTTGATTTGCCTTGGACCTTAAGTGTGTGTTGCTTCTACAAAATCTTCAAGGACGATTCAAGTCAAGGTGGAGGGTGTATTCAACTTGGGATTTCGAGTGATTTGTATGAAAATGACAAATCTCTTGTTATTTTGTTATTCAAACTTGAATTCTAAAGACTCTTTTACATTATGTTGATATGCCTTGAACCTTAAGTGTGCTTGTTGCTTCTACAAGCGTCTGGTAAATCTTGAAGGAGGATTCAAGTCAAGGTGGATATTTGCTAATATTCCTTGAATCTGAAGCGTGCAAACTTCTTGCTTGAGCAGGCAATAATGTTTACATATTGTCTAAGCAGCTTAAGCATATTGCATATGTTGCATGCTGAAGATGCATGATGTTACACGTTAGAATTGCATAATGTGTGATGATGCATGTCGAAGCTGCATGATGCGTGACAAGCGGGCTGCACGATGAAGCAGGCAAACTGTGCGATGAAGTATTCGATGTTTCGAACGCATGTTGGAATCTACAGGCTGTGTAAGGAGATGTTGAAATATGCAGGTTGTGTAAGCTGTATCGAAGATTGCATGCATATGGGCCATGGTGTGTTTTCATGAAGACTTTTATAAGAGTCTAAATGTGTGAGCCTACATGCAATTAAGGTTTCTAGGGTTATATGACTATAAGTAACCTAGTTATGCCTAATTCTGATGTATTCTGAAACTGTCTGCTTCCATTAATAAATAATTTTTCCTTTGCCCTTGGACGTAGGCAACACATCACTGGTGGACCATGTTACTTATGTATTGTTTTCTTTACATTTATTTCATCCTTCTCGCATCCGTTACAACAAAATGGTATCAGATCATCCAAGTTTTAGGGTTTTTCTGCATTTGGTGAGACGATGTTTAGGTTCAGCGTGAAGATGGACAAATTCATTAGGAGAAATAGTTTCATTCTATGGCAGATCAAGATGAAAGAATTGGTAAAGAAACAAGGCTTGTGGGTGGCACTGTTGAAAGACAACAAGGGAGCCGCACACTGCCACAAAGACAAGTCTGGAGGAGAAAGTACAAGCAACAATTTCGAGTTATTCATATTAAAATGACAAATCTAGATTCAATACATTGTTGGTGAAGCATGTTACTTATATGTCATGTGCTATATGTTTATTGCATCCTTCTCACATCTGTTACAACAAAATGGTACCAGAGCATCCAAGTTCTGGACCAGACCCAAAAGTATGCATTTCCGGCAAGAGAAGAGAAAAGGACATCGACGAAATGTCTTTGCAAAACAAAGAAGTCGCCGACGTCAATATGATATGACGACATCATCATGTGGAAATTTTGATTGGTGGTGGACAGTGGCGGAGCCAGCGTGTGGGGACATGGGTCAGGTGACCCACCTGAAATTTTTGTTTTAAAAAAAAATTATCACTAATTTTGATAGAAAATGTGATAATATGTGATAAAATTTGATCATTGACCCATGTAATATATGATTTAATTTATTGTGACCCTCCTAAAAGAATTTCCTAGCTCCGCCACTGGTGGTGGAACGTTCAGAGATGAAGCTGGAGGTTGAAGTAAGAGGACAAGATCCAATGACGGCCAAGATCCACAAACATCAAAAGGGTCAGGTGGTTTAGTGGATCCTGAGCGTTTATGAAGGACATCACAAAAAAAGTTGGAGAGGGCTGAAGTAAGTTCGCATTCCCCAGATTTAGAAGTTTCAAAGGAAGGAGGCCTATATGCAGCGACGAGACTGCAACAACTTAACCATAGGTAGGTTAGAGAGGTTGAGCTCGGGAAAACTCTGTTCAAGAGATGGTTCTCGTCAGAAAGGAGAAGCATCTTCCGGCCAGTCAGAGCGGCGACGTCAGGGGAGCTAGCTGCTATCATCACCGCAGGGAGATGGGATCAGAGACTCATTCTGTTTAGAAGAGCTGCAACGAACGTCTTCCTCTTCCTCGAGGCTAGTTTCATACAGAAAATGAAACTAAGAGCATATGCATTGGTGAGATACCCATAGAGTATCTGACTAATACAATAATATCATTTTCAAAGTTTTTCATTAATGTGACAAGAATATCCCTCATCAAAACTATTTGATGAGTAATCTATTTTCTTTAATATCACTAATACCCTTAAACTAGTTTCTGTTTTAAATAAATAAAACGCAAAAAAATATTCATTTTACCTTTGTATCTTTTCACATTTTCTTTTATTTTAGATAATGTTTGATATTTGTCAGAAAGAAAATTAATATTTTTGAAATGTTAATTTTAAAAATTAATTGACAGTGAGTTAATCTTATATATAATGAGGGAGTTCTCTCTCCATCTAGAGTGTCCGCATCAGCACAAAAACAATAAATTATATTTAATCTATTTATTAAATACTTGTCTTTTCATATTTCTTTACATATATTCATATTTTAAAAATAAACAAAACTAAGAAAAATACACAAATACATTAATTAATTAAAATAAAGTATATGATAACTTGGTATTATAATTTAAAGAAACATTTGTAATATAAATTGGAAATAAAATAAAGAAATATTCAAAATAAAATATTTTCTATCATATTAAAAAACATTATAATGTGTTTACAAGTTCAAAAATACTGAATATAATTTTTTGATTAATATAGTAGAAAGCTCATGAAAAAAACAGAGTTAGAAATTTGTATAGAAGATTTCTCCTATTTTTTAAATGTTAAAGTTAAAAACAAAAAAGAAATTAGAATATAATTTAGTTTATATAGTAGGAAGTTAATGTGAAATTATATTTAGAGTTATTTTAAAAACCCAAATAAAACATGAAAATTTTAAGGATTGTGACATGTTTGTTTCAAAAATACAATCTATATTTACAAAATAACATTATAGAAATAATCAATGGGTCATTATGCTCAGATGCTACCACAACAAAACATATATGTAAAACAGTAATACATTGAATGCAAATGCGATTCTACGAAAAGCTTGAGATGAAGAGCTAGCATCTTAATAAAATAAAACAAAACAAATTGATCATATGTTAAGCGTGAGTGGTTGAGTTAACTCAAAATATAATCAAAATATGGAGATTAACACAAAACTATTATTATTCAAATAAACAAAGATAAATAAAACCATATAAAAGAATTATCACAAACAATCCCTCGTGTGTGCGCGGGGCTTCATCCCCTAGTTAATCTTAATCAGAATTCTTTGATTTGTTACCTAAATAAATATGAATATGAATTATATGGAAACTCATTTATAATTTGATTTTCATTAATGTGATAACAATATCCCTCTTCAAGTTATTTGATGAGTGATCTCCTTTTCTTTAATATCACTAATACCCTTAATCTTGTTCCTGTTTTTAATAAAAAAAAAAAAAATTAGATAATTCATTTCACCTTTGTATCTTTGCACCTTGTTAAGGCCTCTTAATATTTTGTCAAATGTCTACTAATGCCAAATGTCTACCAACGCTCCGCCAAAAGTCAGCTACCGCTTGTCAAAGGTCTGCCACTGCGCATAGGTAAATCAAGGTAAATCAAGAAATGAAACATGTATGTCAATAAGAAAACTTTCAAAAATGTGTTTTCATATACTTCTTTTATTTTGAGGTTTATGTTTGATTTTCTTGTTACATATCGATTATTAAGTAAATATTAGAATCTCATTGGAAAACTAACATGGACAAAAAAATAAAACTCATAACATGATTTTTTTTTTTTTAAATACACTTAATCACAAAGAAAACAAATTACATAACCCATTTATATTAAACAAAAGCTAAGATTTCAGTAGTTATGTGGCAAATCAAAAATTTACTACCGATAAATATATGAATTTATGATATTCCACTTTTGATAATATACTAATCTAAATGATAAAATGAATCATGTAATTCAAGAGAGTAGAAAATTTCATAGTAAAAACTATGTCAAAGATCCAACTATAAGTTTTTGTGCGCAGAGGAGCACACAATGACAAAACATTACAGTCTCATAGAAAACTAACATGGATGAAAAATAATGAAATTCATAACATTGTTTCTAAGTACATAACACATATATCTTGAAAAAATCTATGGTTTACAAAAACAAAAAATTAAAATCTCGTAGAAAACTAACATGGATAAAAAATTAGTAAAACTTGTAACATATTTGTTAAGTACATCATAACACATATATATTAAACAAAAGCTAAGATTTCAGTAGTCATGTGACAGATCAAGTATTTACTCCCGATAAAAATATGAATTTAGGATATTGTAATTTTGATAATGTAGCTAATTTAAATAATAAAATGATTGATGTAATGCAAGAGCGAAATACTTACAGTGAATAGCTTGAAAAAAATTCAATAGTAAAAACTCTAGTGGAGATCTAGATGTAGGATTTGTGTGCGCCGAAGAGGACACAATGAAAACGGCGATAAAGAATAGATTAAAATAGGTTTAGGTTAAACAACTATAGAACATTTATATACATACTTCTATGTACATACAATATATATAGCCCAAAGGCCATATATATAAAGCCCAAAATATATACACACATCCTATCAAATGTTATTTCTCCGATCGTGAAACTTTAATCTTTTAGTTCATTTTATTGATGACAAAAGTTCTAAAGAATGAAGAATATTATCTTACCATCAGCCCAATCAGTTAAAACAACAATCTCAATGGACCATTAAGAAAACACTGACCAAGAGTGATGTTAACAAAGGCTCTAATAAACTTATTGTGGCCAAAATATTGTTTCGGAAACACATTCATAAACCCTGAAACAGATCACAAAAAGGCAGAAGACTCAAGTCAGACAGAATTCAAGGTTAACGTGCATTGACTCCGATGATGGCACATCATACGAGATATATCTCGCTTTTCATACTATGTTCTGGAGGGAAGATGGATCATAACTTTTGTGGTAACGAGAGTGTTGAAGGAAGGAGGTGAGATTGGACTTCTCTGTACTTCAACGCTTCAATTTGGAGTGAGCTCTCGTGCAATCGTGAAACCCCTTGCAGATGAAGAGAAGTAGAGTTGAATCTAGTAAGAGTCTATCTGCATTAAGAGTTTACCAAGTGAAGATAAATATATTTTTTGTTTTCAAGCAGTATTTCATTTTAGTGTGTATAGAGCGCTTTGGTCGAGTTTTGATGATAGTGAGACTGATGGTAGTTTGGGTTGAATCTTGCGCTTGGAAAATCTATTTTTCAAGTTTATATTAAAGCTTCATTGTTGAATCTGATATAGTACGTGTTCATCCATGAGATATTAAAGATGTGAGTTTTGGGAAATGAGACTTTATTGTTCGAAGAAGTATCAAGGATTATAAAAGGGGGTCTCGTCGAACAAATCTTGACGAGAGACGGAACGCGAGAACAAGGGAAGAGTGAATAGAAGAATTTCTAGTGTTATGAGTAATTGCAGAGAATTTCGGATCCCCTTCAAGGAATGAAGATCTCTTCTTATATAGGTGTAGGAGGTCGTGTGTTGGTGAATAACCTCCTCCTTATCAATTGGAAAACTTCCTCTTGTCCTCGATTTTTTTCCATTCTTCGAGTCGGCATATTTCTCTCTTTACATTTTCCTAAAGATTCGCCTCAAGACTTGCCATTTATTTGAGGAGATTAAGGCTGAAGACGGGGTTCATTTCACCTCTAACATTCATTGCTCATTTGGTATCATCATGTGCTTATATAACAAATTGTGCTTGTTTTCTTTAACATAATTGAACAAGTAGAAAGACAAGGCATCGATACAAGAAGACGGAGTTAAAGAACTTTTTTTTTCTGACATGAGAGTTGAAGAACTTGTTAGTGCATTACTACTATACCCTTGACCCCAAGAACAAGGAAGTCTTGGCGTTTTCAATGGCTTGCACTTCTATTTATATAGAGAGGAGGTAGGTTCCGTTGACCTCATTTTATTTTTTTCGTTAGGAAAATCTTAATGTTTATTTTCAACATTTTTCTTATTTATTGGAGATTTTCCATTATCTTCAAATATGTTTCATTTATTTGAGAATGTAATTGATGGGATTGGACTAATAGCAATAGAGGGGATTACTTTAGAGATGTGATCATTCTATCTCTAACTTTCCACCTCTACCAGAGAAGAAAGAGATAGAAAGAGAGACAGTCCTAACGGTTAAGTTCTTTCTAGAGATTTATAAAAGAGAATTATGAAGAAAGAGGCGTTCACATGGAAAATGAAAGATTATAACCAAAAAAGGATTATTCCTTTAACAAGAAAAATATAATCCTTGCAGAAAAAAAAAATGATCTACGAGAAGATAATGCAATCTCAGGATAAACTTATTTAGACATCTAATGCAAACGCGTGATCTTTGGGGCTTTTTTATATTGGGCTAAAAACTAAAAACACGCCCACCGTGGGGCTCGAACCCACGACCACAAGGTTAAGAGCCTTGCGCTCTACCAACTGAGCTAGACGGGCTAGTTATGATGTGTCTTTTTTTAGTGGTTATTTAATGTTTGTTTTAACACTTTCCAGTCCGTATAGGATTTGGTTTCTATATAAACTCCTAACTGTCTTACAAATCCAGATTCCCTTTAGCATTAGGAGCTTCCGCTGGTATATAATAAGAAACTTCTAGCTCTGAATTTTCTTAATCATCTCGTGAGTTTGAACACATAATCAGGTTTAGGGTTTGAAAAGTTTTTTTTGGCTGTACGTGAAGGTTTACGATGTTGCTCCATAGCAGTTTTAAAGATGGATTGTCATTATATCTTGGTGTCATTAGTGTTATCAGTTGGACTGTTGCCGAGATACCGCAGATAATGACTAATTACAATCAGAAATCCACCGAAGGTCTCTCTATTGCCTTCTTAACGACTTGGATGCTCGGAGATATCTTTAATCTTCTCGGTTGTTTGATGGAACCAGCTACTCTTCCAACACAATTCTACATGGCACTCGTGTATACATTAGCTACAACAGTTCTCTATGTTCAATCTATATATTATGGCTATATCTACCAGTGGTTAGAGAACAGGAGAAATCATAGAATGGATCTTGATGAAGTGCCATTGCTACCTGAATATGAGCCCCCCAAGCGTCGTTTCTCCACCAAACCGATGCTATTCGTGGTCTCGGCGGTCTTGTTTCTTGGAACGTTCGGTCTTGCGATTTTGCTAACTTGGTCAAGAATCAATAATCAAGATCTTGGAGCAGCAAGAAAGCTTTTTCGGAAATATGACGATGGCGAAATCGGATTGTTGTTGGGTTGGGGAATGGCGGCAATTTACATGGGAGGAAGGCTTCCACAAATATTTCTGAATAAGAAGAGAGGACATGTTGAAGGATTGAATCCGTTGATGTTCTTCTTTGCACTACTTGGGAATATTACTTATGTTGCAAGCATCCTTTTAAAAAGCGTTGAATGGATTAATATCGCGCCGAATCTACCATGGCTTGTTGATGCAGGAGGATGTGTCGTGCTTGATTTTCTTATTCTGCTTCAGTTTTACTACTTCAGAGACAAAGATTCTGACAAGAAGAAGCTTGAAACTGGAGAAGAAGCTGTCTAGGGCTTGGTTACTCCAACAAGGCCAGTTTTGATCTGATCAGACCTGAACGTACATGTGATTCTCTTTATTTATTTTATTTTTTTGTTGAGTTTCAGATTTACAGTAGAGGTCTACGTTTAAGTTTCCTTTTTTGTTCTTTCGTTTTTAATTTACGTTTAAAGATTCTTGTGTACTCTAAAAACAATGGTGCCCATTCCAGAATGCTTATAAATAGATTTCTTCATGACATTCACAAACAATATAATAATCTTTCAAACACTCACTCCTCTTCTAAATTTTCATATTTCCAGAATATAGTTAAAATCAAATTGTTCGGTGGTATTTTGTTTCATCAACTGGTCATCTCCATCTTCTTCTTCTATGTCAGATTTTTTCGAAAGAGTTCTTGCTCAATCCCTATTGCGAGGACTTGTATATTGGTTAGTCATTGGAGAGAACAGGGTATATTCCTTAGATTTCTTACAACTTATTCAGCAAACGATGTCTACGTTGATCTTAGAAAAAATACACTAAAATAGACCCAAAAAAAAAAAAAAAAAAAAAACCTTGGATGACCAAAATGGCATTATAATTTTCGTATGATCAAAATAGCATAAATAATTTTTGTGAAAATACATTTCTTTACCCGAATTAAATCTATATAATTGAAAATCCTTGTGACACTCTCTAGCTGATGACACATCAACATCCCCAGAGAGTGCCACATCACCTTTATTTTTTTTAAACTCACCACGACTAACTGCAATCCGGCATCGTTTTTATTCCGTTTCTCAGCGCTCTAAAACGACGTCGTTTTGCTACTCATACATAAAATAATTACGTTTTTTTTCTCTGTTTAATTTTGTTCTCTTCAAAACTCAGCCCCGATTTTCCCTCGACGATCCGCTCAATTCCTCCTCCTCCCTGATCTACACCCACCTCCGACGAGACTGTTTGAATTCCGTCGACGTTTCTGCTTTAAATGGTATAAATGGTGTCCATTGAAAGCGCCGGTTACGGGATCACCACTGCGAATTCGAAATCCTTTATAAAAAACCGCGACGCATCTGCTCACAATACCTTTACAATCTCGAATCGGCACACTTCGACAGTCCTCCGTTTCAACGACTCTAGGCTTTTTTCACAGGCGGCTGTAATGGTTTCCGGCAACCCTCGCTCTCCACCACCACCATGCCGCACGTTTGAAGATTTCCTCTTAGGCCCCACGGCGGAGACCATCACGGTACGCCTCCTGTGGATGTGGGGAGACGGTGCTTCTTCACAGAAAGCGATTCGATTTCTCTTGCTACATCATAAGGTAAGACGCTACCCTTTTTACTTAAGTACCTCTCTCTTCCACTTTCTCGATTTGGTGTCAGATTGATTTTCATCTGGACAGATTAGTAAAGAGAAACTATTGAGAAACCTATTTGAGCATCAAAATTTGCAGAAACCGAATGAAAAACTCAATTTTCGACAATTGGACTCCTCCTTTCAGCTTTGTTTTGCATCCATGTGTCAAACCTACTCCTAAATACAAAGGTAACAAGAACAAAAGCTTCATTTCAATTCGGCTGGATCGATTTAGGACTCTGTTTATGAATTGGGAATTACTGCTCTGATTTAATTTCAGGTTCATTTCTTTATGTTTGTATTAAAAAGCACGAGGAGCAGGGACAACAGATTGAATTGTCAAGGAGCAGCGATGAGGTGTTTGCGGATGGCGTGGAACTTGGCTTCATCTGAGGCGGAGAGGTTGGTCTACGAAGGGTGGCTTTTATATGACATGGGTCATGTGGACGAGGCTCTTACCAAATCCGAGAAGGCAATCTCCATTCAACGCTCCTTTAAAGCTTTTTTCCTCAAAGCTTATGTTATAGCTGACAAGAATCTCGATCCGGACGAGACCTCTTGCGTTGTTCAGGTTCTAGAGGAAGCCCTCAATTGTCCTTGGGATGGGCTACCAAAGGACAGGTTCACATGTCAATATTAATATTTCTTCTTTCTTTTCTCTTAGTCGAACTGTTTTCTTTTCTCATCAATCTTTTGTTATGTTTTGTAGGCTCTAAACAATCTTGGGAGCATCTACATCGATTGCGGGATGCTAGATGAAGCTGAAGCTGCGTATAAAAACACTCTAGAGATCAAACACACTCGTGCACATCAAGGGCTTGCACGGGTTTATTTCCTGAAGAATCAACGTAAAGTAGCGTGTGAGGAGATGACAAAGCTGATCGATAAGGCGTCTATCAAAGCAGCAGCCTACGAGAAACGGTCTGAGTACTGTGAGCGTGAAAAAGCCAAAGAGGATCTTGACATGGCCACAACACTCGACCCTCTGCGAACCTATCCCTACAGATACCGAGCTGCCGGTAACTAACTCTTCCCGTTCCCTATCAACATCTTATAAACCTCGACCAAAGTGTTTGACGTTCAATTTAGAGTTTAGAGATATAGTCTACAGATGATGATGAGCTTTCGTTTTCTCTTAAATTGGGTACGTTTCAAGTTTAATTAGTTTCTTGTGTACTTGTAACTTCTCTTATATACTTGACCACTTAACATTTATGATCTTTGTTAATGTCGCAGGTTTCAGTAAGTTCTTGGGCTTTTTGACCTCCAGGTTAGAGATGTAAAATCTACTGGAATGGAGTAATTAGCAACTCCAGATGCTTTTATACTTATATTTTTTCATATACGATGCTATTGTTTGAAAGGTCTTGAGGAGATGGTGGGTGATAGACCAACCAAAAATCACCTTTTCGTTTCGCTATCTTTAGTTGGAAAGATTGTGTTAACATTTTCTTACATTTTTCTCATATACCGGATGAGTGATGAGTTTTCTTTTCCTTGTGACAGTTACTTTGCTTGGTGAAAGGATAGTTAAGGTTGTAAAGACTGGTTTTATGGAGAATTCAAAGTTTTTGTCCAAAAAAACGGAGATTTGTGTTGCATTTGTATCCAAGGGACTTGATGAGCTTTAGCTTCAACTAGAGAGGTAATCCACCACAACAATCAAATCTAATATCTCTTTTGCTTAGAACAAGAAATGTTGTTCAGGAGGAAACGAGTGAGCAACAAGAAATGTCTTGCCTTGACTATGTGATGGATTAAAAGTTTAAAACATAGATAAACTGTTTCTAAAGGCTTTTGTTTGTGTATGGGTGAATAGTGAACTTTTTGTGGTTATGTTTGTGTCTCTGAGATGTGATGAGTTTTTTGAATCTATTCTGATTTGATATAATAAAACGTGTGTCTCTGAGATGTGATGAGTTTTTTGAATCTATTCTGATTTGATATAATAAAACGGAATGCATTCAATATTTCAATAACCGTAAGATCTGTTCTTGGTATTATTACCATTTTTTATTTATTTTAAAAATGTTTTAGCTTAAGAACCCAGTTAAGCTAAGAACTACCGTTAATCATGCTCCAAAGATTTTGTACCTTTGGTACCAAACTGAAACACAGCTTAGTCTGTATGCTGTCCATAACTTCTTATCGCAATATAATTTTATTTACCTTTAACCATGCAAATGTAGCTTTATCCTGGTTCGGATACAATTCTGGATACAGAGAGAAGCGTTTCGGTTACTGTGTCACGGATTCCACATGAAGAAACCTGGGAAGAGGAAGGAAGAGAAACGGAAGAGGAAACACCAAGATCAGTCGAAACAGATGGAATCTTCAGACGGAGCTGTGGAAAGATTGAGAAAAGTTCATGCCAGTTTAAAGTGCATGCTTTTACATTGGTTTCACCTATATTTCTATTTCTTTTCACTATGGATTAACGTTTTTCTTTGTGCACTTCTCTTTGATTTTTCTGTTTTCAGCTGTATCAGGGAAATATAATCAATGCATGAGAGCCTTGATGATAACTTTAACGATTTGCCTGAGAGCCTTATCAACGTGGAAGCTGTTAGGACTTTTGTGTTATCAAAGGCATGGAGGACAATGTGGACTGCTGTGATATAATTTCCCTATTTATAAAACAAAGTTAGATAAGTTATAGCTTTACTAAAGTTGTATTTGTATCTCATCGTATAGACATACCTATTTTTCCTGGTAAACTTTATAGACAGTATTTTAAGTGTTTTCTAAATTATAAATGTTGTACGAATTATATTGTATCAAAGAATTGTATACAAAGCTTATGTGCTATGTTTATACAATGAAGAAGTAAAAAAATATGAGAGAAATACGTTCGAAATGTGAGTGGTTAAAAAAGCAGTGTAACTGGAAAAATTAGCAATTCTAAAGAAACACAACATGCAAGTAAATTAATCCCTAATATACTAGAGTTTGACCCGCGCCCTGCACGGGGAGATAGTTTCTGAATTTGTATTTTTTAATTAAAAATGTATATTTATCTATTTCAAAATTTTATGTGACAGTTTTTTTTACCTTATTAAGGTTTTTATCTTCGTTTCTATTGTGGAAATTAAACATTTTAAAAATTATAAACAAATTAAAACATTGATCATAGACATAGATTAAATATGCTAGACTATAGATTAAATATGCTAGACTTCAACCAGATACATAAAACTCAAATGAATGTATCATATAAAATATTAAAAATAAAAATTTACATTTAGATACCTACTCTCCTACTTACATGGTTGCATATCATCTATTTTTTATAATATATTTTTACACCTACACACAACAACATATTGGGAATTTTAATAGTTTTAGTGATTATTTTGTTTTTAAAAATTCAAATCATAGCATATATAGAAAAAGTTTTAGATTTTATTTATTAGATTTTTTGTATTGTGTCAATTTTTTATTTTATAAAATAAAGTTAAACAAAGATGAAAGGAGATATAGAATGATTTAAAAAAAATATAATGATAGCATTAAATTGAATCTCATATTTTCCTTATTTACTAATTTTCGTAATTGCCAATTAAGGAAAGAGAATGATGATTTTTTTATTAATAATTTCATATATGATTAATCTAACTATACATATTTGATTCTCTAACCAAAAATATGAATGACAATGTTTGTAATTAGTCTAGTAAACTAATCCTTATTTTATAAATAACATGAGAAGCTCTCTAATGATGACACATCAGCATGGCATTCTTGTTAATAACACATCAACTAAAGGTTATTTTTAAAGTGTTTTCTCTTTTAATATATTAGGGATTAAAAGAGAAAACACTAACTAAATAACTTTATTCAATGTGTTATTAACAAGAGTGCCACTACTTAGGTGTCATCACCAAATTTACTCTCATGCCACTTTTTAATTAAGACAAGTTTTACTAGAGAAATTACAATATATACCATTATATATTATGCTTATAACCAAATAATGTAATTGTCACCTTATTAAACATTACTATAGTCGAATCACGTTAATGATTAACCTGCCTTGATTGGTTTATCATTTGCATATTAACCAATTGGTATACAATGTTTATTGATTCGTATTATTTTTAAGAAATCATTAACCAATTGCTTTTAGAACCACTTTTCAATATAGGTATACAGAACATGTGGTCGACAAAATTGGTGGTAATTATACACATACTTTCATTACCACTTTCCAATATACATTTACACAGATATTTTTTTTTCAATGATAGCACATTTTATTTAGCTCTATATTCTAACTAATATGCAATTATGTCCAGAATTATACGTATATAGTACAAAGGAGGTAATTTACGTATAAACCAGAAAAGATGCAATAAAACCGACAACTAACAGTTTAAATCGGAGTACAGGTTATGTTACACGGAATATATGTTTAAGCTAATTTAAATGAGAGTTTAATGTTTTCTCATAGAGCATGAATTGCGGCGAGTATAATGGAATAAGGTATCAAAAGGCGATTAGTTTGCTGTCTGATACGAATCTAAAATTCGGTCAGGTTCGATAGTATCGTAGATGAAAGGATATTCGAGAGATTAAAACTTTACATATTATGGCAACCTAATAAGTTTCTGAATACTAAATGTAGACGTAGTTAACGGAGTCACTATGGCAATTTTAGAATTGTTATATGCAAATTACCTTACGGGAATCTCATGTATGGAAACCCATTAACTACGAAAAGTGAAAACGTTACTATGGTAAATTATTTATTCAAGGTTTCCAAATCCAAATTGTGCTTACACCGATTATTCAATTCAAGGTTTCCATAAACAAAGGTACTTTTAAATGTGACGATTATTTTTCAATATACACATACTTTCAATATAACCACGTTTAAATGTGATATCATTCTTATTTGATAATCCAAATTATTTTACCTTGATTGTTGTCAATCACTTTAAAATAGTGATCACAAAGATTCTGAAGTCTGCACTTTAATGTTCTGTTATACACTCATAAACCATCTAACCTAATCTCCTTGCTATATAAGGTCTTTGCATTCTCATGAACGTAACTCACCTCAAAATACTTCTCTTCATCGCAACAAACATCAATTCAAATAATCGCTTACTTTGTTAAGTATGTCTTCCTTAAGTTCCATCACTTACCTGAAACCTTTCAAATCCATGTAGAAGACAAAGGTTAGATCATACGGCTATGTGTCAAGTTTTATTTTTAACTTCAAAAACTCATGCCCTACACGATGATTAATTCCACTTCGCTCTAACCAAGGACATGTTATCATGCAGTGAAAACCCCAAAATATGTTCAAGGATGTTCTTAACTAGGAACAAAACATTAGACCAAAGGTTTTCATCCCGCACAGGGTGCGGGTCAATCTCTAGTAATCTATTAACGGGAAAACGACCTATTTCCCCACGAGAACTATGACATAGCATCAGATCTCCACGGAACTATGACCCCGTTCCAAATCCCCACCAACTGAAAGTTCTCTTTCCGAATCCCCACGAGAAAATAGTTCGAAACCTATGTCTCCATTGGCCTCGGTTCTGATCGGTTCTCTACTTACTAGACATATTAACCAACATAAACACGACACCAAACCATATTATGAACCAATAAAACCCGATTATGACCTGATTATGACCCGCTTACAACTTAACCAGGTTTGCTAAACCGATTAACTCTAGATTCCCCCAACCGTGAACCCTAAGCTAGATATCCCCTAATCAGAAACTTCCATACAGCCTAGAACCCTAAATCACACAATGTCTGTTGTCGTTCCTCATGAGAATCTCGCAGAAGATTTTGATGATGAATTAGAAGACAGAGATCAGTATTTTGTGCAGAAACTTGTTGAGGAGTTCGAAGACGAGCCATCGATTCTTCACAACGAATATCCAGAGACTGAGAGTGATAGTGAAGAAGAAGCAGAGGAAGGCGAACCTCTTGTAGGAAGACAGCGAACCCCTCATATCAGGCGTGGTGATGGACCTGATGGTCATTTGTACAAAGACCAGACCTTCTTCAATGGAGTTGCTTTCAAAGAAGCTGTTCTTGACTATGCACTAAAAAGCAAACGAAATCTGAAGCAATACAGGTATGATAAAGATAAGATAGGGTTTGAATGTGTTGGTGGTGGTAGTAAAGTTAATGGTGAAGACTGTAAGTGGCAAGTATATGCTTCAACACTTCCAAGTGATCCCATGTGGAGAGTTAGGAAGTTCATAGATACACATACATGTGTTCCTAATGGGAAGTGTGAGATGATTAAGGTTCCTGTGATTGCTAGGCTATTTTTAGATAAAATCCGAGAGGAACCAAGTTACTACATGCCAATGAAGATTGAAGAACAGATTCAAAAATGGGGTATAATTGTATCTAGGCCTCAATGTCAAGCAGCTAGGAATAATGCATTGAAGTGGATTGATTGGGAATATGATCAGCAGTTTTCCCGTCTCCGAGATTATGCTGCTGAGTTGCTAGAGTCAAACAAAGATTCGACTGTGGAGGTTGACTGTT